ATACATGTCCACATGCTTGTGGATTTCAATGGCTTCTCTGTGTAGTTTGATATGGTTGTTGGAGGGGTCCAGCATTTCTGTGTTATCAAATAATATGCTGTGCCCAAGCATGTGGACAATTTCAACAGAAAGGAGGAAACCATGGAAATTAACAGAATCTGGCTCCTAGTAATAAAAAAACCTCCTAAATCAGGACAGTAAATAAAGAGCAACACTCAAAAACCAGGGGGATTCCAGACAGGAAGCAAACAGGGCCAGTTAACACCTCCCAACAAAGGATTCCCCCAAGCAGGAAGCAGCTAGGCTAGTGGGGTTTATACACACACACACACACCTGTGGAATGATGTCCAGGGTGGGAGAGAGAACTCGTGTCTGCTGGATGCAAGTGTGAATGTTGCACTTGGCCTCTTTGATTAGTATTGAATACAAAGCCTGGTGGAATCCTTTGTTGGGAGGTGTTAGCAGGCCCTGGTTGTTTCTTGACTGGAATTCCCCTGTTTTCTGAGTGTTGTTCTTTATTTACTGTCCTGATTTTAGAGTTTTTAAAATACTGGTAGCTAGATTTTGTTAATTTTCATGGTTTCCTCCTTTCTGTTGAAATTGTCCACATGCTTGTGGATTTTGAAATTTCAGTTAAAATTGTACTTGTGGATTTCAGTGGCTTCTCTGTGTAGTCTGAACTGGTGATTGTTAGATCAGTCCAGCATCTCTGTCTTCTAAAATCATATGCTGTGTCCAGGTTGGTTCATCAGGTGCTCTGCTATGGCTGACTTCTCTGGTTGAAATAGTCTGCAGTGCCTTTCATGTTCCTTGATTCATGTCCAGCCAATGCTGCATTTGTTGGTCCCTATGTAGACTTGTCCACAGCTGCATGGTATATGTTAGACTCCTGCAAGGGTGAGAGGATCCCTTTTTTCCATTGCTGGGTGTAGCATTTGTTGGATTTTCTTAGTGGGTCTGTAGATACTGTAGTTTGTAAGTTGTGGATGCCTGCCATAGATGTGGGTGAAACGTCAGGAGAGAATGTGTCTGGAACATGGCCAGACAGCTCAGAAAACTCACAGTAACCCAATGATTCCTGTGAGAGCTATTCTGCAGTGAAACTCTCTGCCCCCAAGTGTGGTGGAGATTCCTTCTTTGGTGGCTTTTAAACACAGGATGGATGTCCATCTGTCTGGGGTACTTTGAATGAGATTTTCCTGCTTCTTAGCAGGGGGTTGGACTGGATGGCCTATGAGATCTCTTCCAACTCTACAATTCTATGAAAGCCATTGACAACATATAAGCTATGTGGTTTCAGATTCAATTATGTGAATGTCAAAACAGCTTTAAAATCATGGGTCACAAAGCCAAACCCTGAATTTTTCCAAAATGGTTTGATGCCTGGGTTAAATGATGGTGCAAATGTGTACAAATTGATGGTGACTACGTTGAAGGGTAGTTTTGTGTAGAAGAAAGTTCGGGCTATGATCTGGAGCAACTTCTGCTGTATTGGTTCATTAATAACATTTTTATGACGCAAGAGGCAAAACTTTTTGACCCACCCGCATATTTTATATAGACTTCATTAAATCAAATTTCTATTTTAGTTACAAAGTTTAGAGTCTTAAAAAACCTAAAAATGACTTAATTGGTAATTTGGTGGTTACAAAAGAATACCACAACATTGTTGGAAATACTTGAAAATTGTATCAGAAATCAGGCTCCATCGATAAACCTTTGTGGACACTCAAGAGTGCAAATCCAGTCTTTCATGCCCTGTTGTTTCCTGGAGTTGTTTTCAAATGTTCCAGAGTTGAAAACCTTATATTTGTAGCTCAGGCATGGGAAGACTTCAGCCCTCCAGGTGTTTTGGACTTCAACTCCCACAATTCCTAAGAGTCGCAGAGGCCTGGTGGAGATGCACCTGGGGATGGATCTACATTGCATCCGGTCCAAATGCAACATAGCCACACTGAGCCACTTCAGCCCTTGGCTCCTAAGAAAGAGTTTTGAGGACTTTCTTCAAGAGGAAAGTATAGATAGTCCCTAGTTTCCTGGAGAAGTCTAAAAAGTCAATTTGAACATGTGATTTTTAATCTGTTTATGAGTGAAATTGTAACCTGATTTTCAACTTGTATTTTAATAGTCTGATCACTTTGTTTTAACGTCACACCCTGCCTTGAACCACAAGTTGGGTAATAATATCATCGTCATCATCATTCAACCCATACTGGAGATACACAATATGGCTAGCATGTGTGCCCCCACTTCCTCCTTCAATGGGAGAAGCCATACATTGGCCTTGTTTGTGTTGTTTCCCATTCGTTTACGGCCATGGCAAGGGGGGTGGGGGTGGAGGTCGCTTTGCATCTCCATACATCTCAACCCAAAATGGAGACGCCATGAGCACAAAGCCAACCTTTTGCCCTCCCATGCTTTTCGCCAGGGGATTTTTGAAAATGAGAACAACTTATTCTGTGCCTTTGGGGTGGCATCACTGCCAGGTGCATTTAGGATATTCTTTGGGTCAAGGTAGAACAGCGGGTTAAACTGCTAGCTGCAGAAAAACTGCTGACCAGAAGGTTGGCAGTTCAAATCTGTGGGTTGGGATGAGGTCCTGCTGTTAGCCCTAGCTCCTGCCAACCTAGCAGTTCAAAAACTTGTAATGTGAATAGATCAACAGGCACTGCCTCATCAGGAAGGTAAAAGGCACCCAGGCAACCATACTGGCAACACAACCAGAAGGGTCTACAGAAAACAGGCTCCTCGATATGGAAAAATGGAACAAGAGCACCTCCCCATGGCCAGAGTTGAGCATCGCCTCCAGATGACGGAGATGGAAAGGGAAATCTTTGCCTTTGTTTGTGTATTGTATGTCATTGTTCACTGTATAAAAGACATTGAATGTTTGCCTGTATAAGCGTATACTGTAATCTGCTCTGAGTCCCCTCGGGGAGATAGATCAGAATATAAATAAAGTGTATTATTATTATTATTGACACAAAAGCACAGTATGTCACAGCAAATGAGATCTATATGCTGGATTTCGTATCACAAAATCACAAGTCGAACACTTCCCAAGCGTCTAGGACTGTGTGATGTATTTTCGAATGATGCGTGCAGATCCAAGTAAGGTGGCCTTTTGCAGTTGACAGATCATGATTTTGTCGATGTTTATTGTTTCCAAATGCCAGCTGAGATCTTTTGGCACGGCACCCAGTGCGCCAATGACCACTGGGACCATCTGTACTGGTTTATGCCAGAGCCTTTGCAGTTCGATTTTGAGGTCTTGATAACGGCTGAGTTTTTCCTGTCGTTTTTCCTCAATGCGACTGTCACCTGGAATGGCGACATCAATAATCGAGACTTTTTTCTTTTCCACAATCATGATGTCTGGTGTATTGTGTTCCAAGATTTTGTCAGTCTGGATTCGAAAGTTCCACAGTATTTTTGCATGTTCATTTTCCATGACCTTTGCAGGTTTATGATCCCACCAATTCTTTACTGCTGGCAGGTGGTACTTGTGACATAAGTTCCAGTGAATCACCTGGGCCACAGAGTTGTGTCTTTGTTTGTAGTCTGTCTGTGCGATTTTCTTGCAACAGCTGAGGATATGATCCATGGTTTCATCAGCTTCCTTGCACAGTCTGTATTTTGGGTCATCTGCTGATTTTTCAATCCTGGCCTTAATTGCATTGGTTCTGATGGCTTGCTACTGGGCTGCAAGAATCAGGCCTTCTGTCTCATTCTTTAGGGTTCCATTCATGAGCCATAACCAGGTCTTCTCCTTGTCAACTTTTCCTTCAATCTTCTCAAGGAACTGCCCATGTAAGGCTTTGTTGTGCCAGCTGTCAGCTCTGGTTTGGAGTGCAGTTTTCTTGTACTGACTCTTTATCTGCTGTGCTTTGAGAAGTTTCCAATTATTGACTTCAATTAAAGCAGGTTCTTGGCTTTCCTTGATATATTCTGCCAGGGAGTGTTTTTCTTCTCCAACTGCTTGTTTGACTTGTAAAAGTCCTCTGCCACCAGACTTTCTAGGCAGATAGAGCCAGTCAACATCACTGCGAGGATGTAATGAATTATGGATGGTCATGAGTTTTCTTGTTTTTCTGTCCAAATTGTCCAGTTCTGCTTGTGTGCAGTTTATGATGCCAGCAGTATATCTTATGAAAGGTATGGCCCAGGTGTTTATGGCCTTGATGGTATTGCCTCCGTTGAGCTTGCTTTTGAGAATTTTTCTGACCCTTTGAATGTATTCTTTGCTGACCAGTTTTTTCACATGTTCATGTTTGATGTTGTCCAGCTTTAGTATGCCCAGATGTTTATAGGCCTCTGGCTGGTGACACTTGATTGATTGGCCATTGGGCATATTTATGCCCTCACTTTCAATGATTTTCCCTTCTTCAGTGCCACTGTCAAACATTTGTCCAAACCAAACTCCATGTTGATATCTGTGCTAAAGATTCGGACAGTGTTAGTCAGTCCTGCTGTTAGCCCTAGCTCCTGCCAACCTAGCAGTTCAAAAACTTGTAATGTGAATAGATCAACAGGCACTGCCTCATCAGGAAGGTAAAAGGCACCCAGGCAACCATACTGGCAACACAACCAGAAGGGTCTACAGAAAACAGGCTCCTCGATATGGAAAAATGGAACAAGAGCACCTCCCCATGGCCAGAGTTGAGCATCGCCTCCAGATGACGGAGATGGAAAGGGAAATCTTTGCCTTTGTTTGTGTATTGTATGTCATTGTTCACTGTATAAAAGACATTGAATGTTTGCCTGTATAAGCGTATACTGTAATCTGCTCTGAGTCCCCTCGGGGAGATAGATCAGAATATAAATAAAGTGTATTATTATTATTATTATTATTATTATTATTATTATTATTATTTGACCTGCAAAGTTTGGCAGTGAAGCATCTAACCTCCCAGAAAGAAAGAAAGAAAGAAAGAAAGAAAGAAAGAAAGAAAGAAAGAAAGAAAGAAAGAAAGAAAGAAATACAAGCAGCAAAGCTCAGTTTTAAAAAGAAACTCGACTTTTTATAAATTATAAACCCATCCAGTTTAAAGCAGATCGCTAGCAGTTTCGTCACTGAAATTCGGTGGGCGGCGGAGGCTGTTCCATACAGACTTTCCACAGTCATAACTTAAGAGCAAGCGGCGCAAACCGGGGAGGGAGAAAGACATCCCCCCCCCTTTGAACAGGTTCAAGAAAGAGACAAAACGCCCCATAAATCAAACAGAACAGTCGCAAAATAGAAATGCAATTTTTAAACAGTTAAAAATGACTAAAAAGATACAATGCCTCCCCCCCTCCATCCAAACAAACACAGCCAGGCAACAGGGTTTTCTGTGTGGATTGATGTCCTCCATTCCAACCCACAAGAAAATGCATTTCGGAGAAGAACTGGGTGGCCGGAAACAGCGGTGGAAGGACCTTGGCTGCAATAAAGAACAAACGTCTCTTGGTCTGTAAACAGTTGGCTTTTAGCACTCTGGCGGTACATGTTAAAGCACAGGAAAAATGGGATAAAACAACATTTTACACAAATTCAAAGGGGACAAAAAGGAAACATCTGGTTGAGTGAGAACCCTCTCTGTTTGACAGTTCCCAGAGCTCCAGAACGCCCCAGAACCGTTTGGCCTGCTCCGCCAGGAAGGCCCAAACAGAGGCAAGCCTCCTTTGGAGCCATGGAAGACTAAGGAGTTGAGTGCAACTCCAAAAAGATGGAACCACTCCGCTCCAACACGAGGCATGCCCATTTCCCCAAGGGCAACTGAACTACACATTTCAACAATTCCTTTCAACATTTTTAAAAAGATGCTGGGTTTCAGCCAAAACGGACTGCCAGCCTCATCCAGAGCAGAGCCAATGCCTGAATGCAGCTCAGGAGACAGCAAGCATGAGCCACACTAAGCAAACGGTCCATTTCAATGGCACTTCCCACTGACAATTCCCGGGACCCTTGCAGGGCAACACACGGAAATGAGAAACACGTTATTTCAGCTCCTAACAGGAGAAATATCTCACAATAAGGTCAGCAAGACTAGGCACTTTGGACCCTGACGCCTAATGAAGAAATGTTTGGTTGGAAACATTTTTAAAAGCCTCTCACACAAAGCAGTTACCTGCTGGAAACAAAGGAGGCTGTTGTTCTGAAACATATACAGACAAAATCCGAATTTCAGTCTTGTATCTTGTCAAACTATGCTGAATACACTGTTCTCTTGAGGAGAACTTCTCTAGCAATTTAAATAAAACCCACACAGGTCTCCCCTAAGAGGACACCTGCGTGGTTTGTGGTCCGAGTCTTTGGACCAAAAGGTTAAAAGACTCCCAAATTTGGGTTTAGCTTTTGTCCAAGATGACTAGTCCAGGCTCTGTCTATCACAACACTGGCTAGACTTGGAAGCTACACAAAGATGGAGAGCGGTCCTGAAACAAATGGGGAAAAAATCCATCACTTGACTTCTAGCAAATCTGACTGACATCACTAGCGCTCTCCAAACATTAAAGCTACATCGCTGGATGTTCTTTTTCTTAAACCAGTAATTTTGCCAAAGCTTGCTTCCAAACATAACCTGTTTTTAGGTGGAGGTATCTGCTCGGTTTTGAAAAAGAGTTCAATCCGCTGCTTCTTTCCCTTGTTCTGGTCAGTAAAAAACAACAACACAAGGTTAGTATTGAAACACAATTACAACCAGGAAAGGGGGGAAAGGATATTTTTGTCTTGTTAGCTTGAAAATAAAATCAAACACAATGGGGCACAAAGCAGGTATTTGGCTAGACATGAGACTGTGGATCTGTCACCAAAAGCCAAAGCTTCTGACCTGAACACTGGAGACCAATCCTCGTATCATAGGCTGGATCTACACTGCTATATAATGCAGTTTTTGAATGCAGATTAACTGCACTGAACTAGATTAGATGGCAGTGTAGATCCAGCCCTAGTCTGTCTTCCAAACAATAGACATAGCCCTTAACCTGCCAGGAGCGGATGCAAGTCCTTACCAAGATCTGTGTCAGGTGGAATGAGATTTAGTCCTTTGGCAATGGGTTGGAGCGGCCTGTTGTCCACATGTCTACCTCATCATAAGTTTATCTTACATACATTCCCCAAAGATGCTCAGCATCTGTCGTAAGATTAGGTAAGCGTGAGAAACAGGAGGCGCAACTCAAAGTGTGCTCACAAGTTCATCCAGTCCTAAACCTCAATAGTGAAGACACCATTCCAGATTGTATGAACCAATCACTATTTTGCCCCAAGACAGATAGCATGGGTCATCTCTCTGGGCTGCAAGTGGCAGAAAAGCAACCTGTTCCTGCTTTCAGTCAACTGCATTTCAAAATGAAGTATATCGCTTCCTTCGGTCACTATTTCGGTATGAATCAACTCATCCTACCGCTTCCGTATAGTGTTTCTTTCTTTATAAGGTGGGGGGCAAACACACAAAAAGGTTAAAAACCGAACTTGCGCAGGCCTCCTATTCAACCCTCTGGGAACGTAACTAAGTTGGGCCTATGAAGAGAGCAAGGGGAAAAGGCCTGAGGAGCAGTAAGCGGCTCAAAGCCTCACAGCTGAGCACAGGCCCCTCTCAACTTCTGCTTTCCTAAGGCAAGAAACGGAGACACAAAAATAGAAACGCTGCATCATGGGATGGAAAAAAGAAAATACAAACTCCTTTGAAATATGCTTTACACTGGATTTCTATTGCTGCTTCTAAAGACGTCAAAACCCCCAGAAGCGTTTCAGGAGAAGGCTCCCTCTCCACCCACAAAGGGAAGCGAAACAAGTTCAAGGGTTTTTGCTTCAGTTACAATAGGCTTATTATGAACGTGTATAAAAAGTGGTCTAACCCTGACGGAGGAGGGTCCCTGCGCCTCAATTTTATGTACAATAATTTAATCACTTGAATATAACTTTGTAATACATAAAAAAACTATCTTATGATAAAAGTCCTTCATGCATTGGTGAGGAAGTTCCAGATTTCGATGTCAGAGGGGTGGCGGGTGAGGCTCCTTTCGTTGTCTGGCGTCAGCTCTTCGCTCCCTGCCTTCTGGCGGCGCCTGGGTGGTGCTTCCTCACACCTTCAGGTGTTTGATGGTGTCAAGTCTCTTTTTAAGCAGCTCTCCCATTTCCTGAACTGCATGCTGGTAACTGCTCTGGACCTTCCCTAGCGCAATCTTTGTAAACTTCTTTTCTTCCTGGGAAAAGGAGGACATCAAGATCATTCTTATTATTTATACCTCACAAAAAACGAAACAACCCAGTTTTTGTGGACCTTACAGCAGCCTATTACACGGTGCTACATAGGAAATTGTTGCATAAAGTCTACCATATCACCCAGGACAACAATTTTACAAAAACAGTCCAGACCCCCCTAGAAAACTGCAGCTTCTATGTGGGGTTTCAGGGCAGAAAAAGTAGATAGAGAAGCCAATAGAATGGTCTATCCCAATGAAGCGTTCTTGCTCCGACCTTGTTAATCATCTTTACTAATGATCAGCCACAGCCACCACTCACAAAGAGCTTTATATACGCTGATGACCTTGGCCTAACAACACAAGCAAAAGACTTTGAAACAGTTGAAAACCAACTTCCTAATGCCCTGAAATTTCTCTCCAGCTACAATGCCTAACCCTGCCAAGACAAGTTGTCTTACTCAACTGCTGACTATGCCTGCCCTGTTTGGCACAAGTCTGACCACGTTAAGCAGCTGAATACAGCACTGAATGAGATGTAGAATAATCACAGGGTATCTCAAACTTACACCTGCTGACAGACTTTATAAGCTAGCAGGCATTGCCCCCCCCCCCCCGATGTGTAACGGGAAGTTGTGGCCAATTGCTAGAGAAAAAAGGTTGAACACTGTGAAAGCCACCCACAGTATGGCTATCAGCCTCCTCCCAGTAGACTATAATCAGGGGAAAGCTTCATGAGAATCACCACTCCTCTCAATGTTCCTCCAGCAACAACAAGAGTATCCCTGTGGGCAGGAAAATCAGGCAATCCCAACAGGATGGCCCCCCACGAGGGTCTTCCTCCATGGGCAAACCACAATGGGCAATGTGGAAGGTCTGTGAACAGACTCAGAAGTGGAATGGGCAGATCAAAGGACAACGTGGAAAAATGGCACTATCTAGAAGAATCTGCCACCTTGTGTGATTGTGGAGCAGGACAAACAACTCAGCATCTTTATGCTTGCCCACAATGCTCTGCCTCATGAATAGAGAAGAACAGTTTGAAGCTACAGACAATGTGGTTGCTGTTGTCCATTTTTGGTCTAAAAATACACCAACATTCAAGTATAATTAAATATTAACAGTACTGAAGAGAAACAGTTAAAACCAATTAAAAACCTATCCATAGCTCAAACCACAGCATCCCTTAGAAATCATGGAAATCACTTCAAAAGATTTAATGCTAAGTTGCCCTTTCATTACAGGTATCAGCAAATATTGATACACATATGACCCCTCAACTTCTGAGGATGCTGGCATAGATGTGGGCAAAACGTAAGGAGACAATGCTTCTGGAACATGGCCAGACAGCCCAGAAAACTTACAGCCAGCCACTGCATTCTTAGGCAGATGGAAATTTAGCCTGCTTTTGCTTTTTAGTCCAGCTGAAGGTCCTGGGTTTGAGCCAAAGTTTAACCATTAACCATGTTTTATTTCTATCCTATTTGCTGGATTGACTCCCACATTATAAACCAGTGGTTCCCTACTTTTTTTTGACAAGGGACCACTCTCCAACATTAGTACCAAAAGGGTTACAAATCAGTTGTTGGTCAACTTTAGATTTGGTCTGGTGATTCAGAAAGTTGCATTGGATAGACCACATCAGGTCTAGTTTCTGATACAGAACATATGATATATGACATCCAGTAGTTACCATCTGCTCGCTCACAGAAAACCATATTTAATAATCTAGAGCTGATATAGTAGTTGTAATGTTTTGTGGGTAGTCAGCCTCTCCCCTCCCGACATTCCCGTTGCCTCGGTACAACAAGAGGGTTTCTTGAGATCAGTTGCTCTCATTGTCGCATGGTTTCGAGGCAGCGATGTAGTAATGGTGAGGCCGCAGACCATATTTTTGTTCTTGGGGACCACTGGTGGTCCACGGAGCACAGGTTGGGAAACACTGTTATAAACCATGGCTCTTACGCACTGAGTGTCTTTGCAAACTTTAGTATTTTATGCTATGTTTTATTTTGTGATGGCATTGAATAGTGCCTGTTGGTAGCCATCCTGAGTCCCTCTTTGGAGGTTGAGAAAGATGGGATATAAATGTTCCAAATAAATAAATAAATAAATCTGCATGAGCTATAAGATGTAAAATCATCATAATCATCATCATCATCACCATCATGTCATTTCTTACTTCTCTCTCCTCAAAGCAAGGTCCAGCATAGTTAAAACACTTTATCATAAAACATGATGTAAGATACATATATTCAAATATATTTCTATGGAATACATTGATGAAAATACTCAGAATAACAACATTGTTGGGACTTAGCCAGAGTAGGAAATCCCCCAAAGGGACTTCCAAGCCTCTATCTAAGGCAGCTGGAAAAGAAAAAGGATAAATAGTATCCACCATTTTTATTCCTGAGTGGCTCATCCTCAGAACGGCAGGATAATTGAAGACAGACATGTAAAGAGAAAGGGCTTTTGTAAAGCTAGGGAAAAAAACAGAGCTCAAAAGGTGCAGAGACCATGGGGGGCTGCACCATGGCAGGGCCATCTCAGCTTGTCACCTGCGTGCTGTCAAGAGGCTGGAAAATGCCCAGACCACACTTTCCTGCCAGCTGCATGATTTTCCAGGCACTCTTATGCTGTGGGAAAAACAGTGGGGTTGAAAGCAAACCATTTCAATGCAATGTGAGAACAGGAACTGAAAAGGGTAAGAGAAATGCTGCAGAGCAGGTGGGTTTCGCAGCTGTTTGTTTTGTCAGGACAGCAGAGTTGTCCTTTGTTCGTTTTGTCAGGACAGCAGAATTGTCTTTTGTTTTGAAATTACTAATGAGGAGCTTTCCTTCCCTACTTGCGCCAGCATTTATCTGCTCGCCCTCCATCCAATCAAAGTTTTCTCGAGCCCATCTCCTCCCCACCTTTGTTGTGTGACACCCCAAATTCACTTCCACAAAGCCTTTTCCCTTTCGCCTGGTGCCCTCATGTGGTACATGTGGGAACGGCAAGATCGAGCTCCTCCACAGAACGTACATTCCCTTTTCTCCATTTCTGAGATAGGGCAGCCCAGAACCAGAATGAGAGCATTCACCTCTCTTAAACCCTTTGGGCTCTGAAGGGCCCATTCATTATTATTATTATTATTATTATTATTATTATTATTATTATTATTACGATTTATTAACTTTAATCCTGCTTTTCTCCCACGGATGGGACTCAAATAAAAATACAACGACATAATACACAAAACCATCAACACGCCCACCCAACACATAAACAATAAATCCACACATTACGTAAAACAAAAGTTACATAAATATAAATAAGCATCAAAATAATCACATATCATTATCATTAAAATCCCTATGTCTCAGGCCATTGAGGTTGTCCTAACAAGTTAAAACATTAACTTGTGAAAACATTAACTCGGGCATTTAGTTCAGAAGTAGCCGTGTCTCACCTGCAACAGTAAGTCGTCCTCTATAGACAGCTCTTCAAGTTTAAGTGCAGTGAGAGTAATTTCAAGCCCTTTGATATGATCGATCCCATTGGAAGTGAGTGTCTGAAGCCCAGAAAGGTATTCTTGGAAGCTGGCAAAAACTGGAGGCTAAAAGGAGTAACACAGAGAAGCGTGGTTAGAGGAAGGAAAGATGATCTGCACAGCTTTCCAAAATGCGGGTGTTCTTCCACATGACCTCTGAGATCTTTGGCAGGGTCAACTATAGTTTGGCGTCCTGCTTCCCCAAATGAGAAGCTTTTTGGGAGGCACAGGCCTGAGGCAGGAAGGCAGGAGTTCTCTTCTGCCACTGTCCCACAGAAAGCACACATCTCCTTCCAAAGTGACCTCAATTTAAGCAACAAGTAAATGGAAGGGGGGAGTCACCTGCCCCTTGCCTACCATTGTGATGTTGCTCTCTTTTTTCTTCTTCTTCTTTTTCTGCAGGCTTGACCGGCAGGGCCGGAGAATGGTGTCCGAATAACCACAGACCCACAGGACAATGGAAACGGTCTACAAAGAGGAGGAGAGGGCCCAAGGCCTTTAGGAAGGCTGCTGCCGGAGTCTGTGGCTGGCAAGTGAACAAGGTCCTGCCTCTCCCACTCACCTCCACAAAGAAGACAAGATTTTCTAGAATATTTGGATGCGTTTTGACGCTGTTCTCCCTCACTTCCAAGAGATCGCCTTTGCATTTATTGAACTGATCTTGAAACAGAGAGGGAGAAAGACAAAGGGCGGCTGATCAAAATGGAGGTCATATATCTAAGGCAAGATACTGTCGCTCTTTTCCGTAGCTGCCCTCTCAATATCTGCACAACCCCAAGAAGTACAGAAGAAGATGATAATAAAAATATTTTTATTTATTACCCACCTCTCCTTTCAGCTTGAGGCGGGGCACAAGATAATCAAGTACATCCATAAAAGCATATATTAAAACATGCTTAAAATATACCAGACACAACAGGCAATTAAAGTCACTCTTTATGAACTGCCACTGCCTTTCAGAAATATTTACTCACTTATCATCTCCTAAGTTTACAAACTTCTTTTGAAAGAAGGAAATATTAGTTTGTTGTTCCTGATTTACCTGTTAGTTGTTCTAATAATGATGTCAAGCTATTTCCTATTCTCTCTTGAATTGCTGTTGAATCTTCTGAAAATAAAAAGTTAAACATTCCAATGACAATAAAATACTAAAAGCATTAGGGAAAGTAAGAACAACATGCCCAGGTAAGCAACAAGGGCAACAAACAGAAAAGCTTGATAAATCATCTCAGAATGTCCTATTAAAACAGCACAAAGGTTGGTAACCGAAAATATGTGCAGAAAGAGGATATTATTGCCATGTGTGACAGGAACATTGTGTGAGATCAGCGCAGTGTCTAAACAGCCAATGTCTTCCAAGTACCACAGAAGCCTTGCCACCCACCTGGCCCTCTCGCTCCAGAAATGCCAAAGACTCACCTAAACCGTTGGTATCAAGGTCATGAATTTCACTAACAAGATTAAACAAGCTGGTCTGGCACTGGCAGCTCCCACTGCTGAAGTAACGGGCCATTCGAGAAGGAGGAGGACCAAGGACTGGATACTGGGCAAAAAGCAAAAGTAGAGGGAGAATTACTTCACTCTTGGAGAAGGCAAAGGAGCAGGAGCAGTCATAATAATAATCATAACAATACATTTTTTTATTTATTATTTACAGTATTTATATTCTGCCCTTCTCTCCCCGCAGGGGACTCAGGGCGGATTACAATGTACATATACATGGCAAACATTCAATGCCATAGACACACAACATATATAGACAGGGTATTCTGGCCACCAGGGGAGCTGTCACTTCACCATCCATTTGTGACATTGATGAAGTACTTCCTCATTCTTTGCATGTTTGCTGGAGATTTTTATGGCGTCATAAATGAATTAAATTAGCCTCCCGCATACGCAGTACCTAAATTTCCTACTTGACAGATGCAACTGTCTTTCAGGCTTCAAAGGTCGACAGCAAGCTACACAAATTGGTTGGAAGCTCACTCCGACTCGGGCTGGCTTTGAACTCATGACCTTTCGGTCAGTAGTGATCTTAATGAGGCTGACTTCCAGCCAGCTGCGCCACAGTCCCGGTGTTATTTGTTACCCGCCTCCCCTAACAACTCAAGGAGGGGTACAACTAAGTCAAAATGTATGAAGATAAAATACTGTATATACTCGAGTATAAGCCAACCCAAATACAAGCCGAGGCACCTATTTTATCACAAAACACTGGGAAAATGTATTTACTCGAGTATAAGCAGAGGGTGGGAAATGCAGCAGCTGATAAATTTCAAAATAAAAATAGATACCAATAAAATTGCATTAATTGAGGCATCAGTAGGTTAAATGTTTTTGAATGTTTACATAAAACTATAATTTAAGATAAGACTGTCCAACTGATTAAACCATTATTCTAACCTTCTTTAATGTAAATGTGCTTATGTATGCTTCCAATAATAATAAAGAGTAAAATAATATACGTAATAAAAATAATAATAGAGTAAAATAATGGAAATGTAGTAATAACAGTAATAACAGAGTAAACTAATAAATGCAACAACAACAATAATAATTGCCCGATGGGTGACACCTTGTCGTGGTGGGGGGCTTAACTGCTCCAAGGATGCTAAGAGCTGTGCTGGCGGTAGTGTAACTACCAGCAGGTCCAACCAAGCCAGAGAGGTCTCAGCTGAGGAGTGGAACCAAGAGCACCTAACCCATTAGCACTATGGAGAAGCAAACCAAAACGAAGTCTATACTGTCTCGGTCGACGCTCAGGATAAAAAGGACCGCAGTGGATGCTCATATCCTCATCATATCCTCAGCTGTTGCAAGAAAATCGCACAGACGGACTACAAACAGAGGCACAACTCTGTGGCCCAAATGATTTACTGGAACTTATGTCACAAGTACCACCTACCAGCAGTAAAGAATTGGTGGGATCATAAACCTGCAAAGATACTGTGGGACTTCTGAATCCAGACTGACAAAGTTTTGGAACACAATACACCAGACATCACTAGATTAGATCGGCGACCTCCCTCCTGGCATTCAGGAAAAAACTGAAGACCTGGGTTTGGGACCAAGCCTTTGGACACGCTGGCAGCTAAATTAAGGATCTGACGACAGACAAGGACAAATGGAATGGAATGGATATATGGACTCTGAACCCGAGCATGAGATTGTCTTAATATTTTATTATGCACTGATGTTTTAATTCTAACTGTTGAATTGCTTTTTTGTATTTTGTATTACTGTCAATTGTTTTAGGCATTTAATTGTTGCCTCCTCTGTAAGCCGCCCTGAGTCCCCTCCCCCGGGGTGAGAAGGGCGGGGTATAAGTAAATGAAATAAATAAATAAATAAATCACGATTGTGAAAAAGAAAAAAGTTTGGATTATTGCTGTCGCCATATCGGGTGACAGTCGCATTGGGGAAAAACAACAGGAAAAACTCAAGCCATTATCAAGACTTCAAAATCAAACTGCAAAGGCTCTGGCATAACCCAGTATAGGTGGTCCCAGTGGTCATTGGTGTACTGGGTGCTGTGCCAAAAGATCTCAGCCGGCATTTGGAAACAATAAACATTGACAAAATCACGATTTGTCAACTACAAAAGGCCACCTTACTTGGATCTGTGCGCATCATTCAAAAATACATCACACAGTCCTAGATGCTTTGGAAGTGTTCGACTTGTAATTTTGTGATACGAAATCCAGCATATAGATCTCGTTTGCTGTGACATACTGTGTTATTGCAGCATAATAATAGTAATAGTAATAATAATAATAATAATAATAATAATAATAATAATAGTAAAAGGACTTTTAAAAGGGCTGAAAAACTTGGCTTATACTTGAGTATATACGGTACATATAATAAAATACATAGGTCAAATCACACCAATATAAAAAACAGACACCAAACACAGGGTACAAAAATCAACACAAAGCAGCAACAGAATGCCGATTCAAAGCTCATGATTCAGAGCTGACTGCATCGGCCTGCCGGAAAAGATGGGTCTTTAAATCCATTTTAAATTCCGACAGCTGATTTAACTGTCGGATCTCTTCCGGCAAGTCCTTCCAGTCTTTTTAAGGTAGCTGGTGTAATTGGGATTTCCTTTGAGCAACAGTGGCCAGTTTTGTTTTGCTGTGAAGGCCATCCTGCAAGTAACCTGAACCCAACCCATGGAGGGCTTTAAGAGTCAGAAGCAACACTTTATAGTATACTTCGCCCAGAAGCTCGCTGGCAGCCAATGGAGTGGCTTTAGTATAGAGGTGATGTGCTCATATCTGGAAGTTTCTATAACTAGTCTGGCTGCTGTGTTTTGAACCAATTGGAGAATTCCTGAACTTGATACAAAGGGAGCCCAATGTGCAGTACATTGCAGAAGTCCATCCTTGAGGTTAGGTCCTCTGACCTAAAGCTGGTACCAAAGATGGTAGGAAGCCCTCCTAAACATTGTATCTCTCTGTACTGACATTTGGAGAGATGGATCCTATCGATGAACCCAGTCCTTCAGGGGGAGTGTTACCCCATCCAGAACTGGTTGACACTCCTACACCCTTGATGGCAAGCCCTTCGGTCTTGTCTGGATTCAGTTTCAATTCGTTTTTTGTCATCCAGCCCATTACCTCCTTTCGTTCAGAAGAGGTATGCTATCCTTAGGTGAAGCCGTTTTTGAAGACATGGAGAAATATATTTGGGTGTCATAAACATACTGATAGCCAATACTCAAGAAGACAGGAGCAGAATTCAAAACGATCTTGACAGATTAGAGAGAAGATTGGCCAAAACTAGCTAAATGAAGTTCAACAGGGATAAATGCAAGATACTCCACGTAGGCAGTAAAACGAAATGCAAAGATACAGAATGGGGAACAATGTTTGGCTCAACAGCAGTACGTATGAAAAAGATCTTGGAGTCCTTGTAGACAGGAAGGTGAACATGAGCCAACAATGTCATGCTGCGGCTAAAAAGGCCAATGGGATTTTGGCCTGCATCAATAGGAGTTGAGTGTCTAGATCCAGGGAAATCATGCTATCCCTCTATTCTGCCTTGGTCAGACCACACCTGGAATCACACTATGTCCAATTCTGGGCACCACAATTGAAGGGAGATGTTGACTCTAAGCTGGAATATGTCCAAAGGGCGACTAAAATGATCAAGAGTCTGGAGAACAAGCCCTATGAGGAATGGCTTCAAGAGCTGGGCATGTTTAGCCTGCAGAAGAGAAGGCTGAGAGGGGACATGATGAGAGCCATAGATCAAGATGTGAGGGGAAGTCCTAGGGAGGTGAGAGTAGGCTTGTTTTCAGCTGTCCTGGAGACTAGGATACGGAACAATGGCTACAGGAAAGAAAGGAGGTTCCACCTAAACATGAGGAAGAACTTCCTAACTGTGTGAGAGAACTGTTCAGCAGTGGAACTCTCTACCCTGGAGTGTGGTGGCGGCTCCTTCTTTGGAGGCTTTGAAACAGAGGCTGGATGGCCATCTGTCAGGGGTGTTTTGAATATGATTTCCCTGCTTCTTGGCAGAATGGGGTTGGACTGGATGGCCCACAAGGTCTCTTCCAACTCTGTGACTCTATGATTCTAAGATTCATTGGTTCTCCAGTGGTTAACAGCACACATGTTCCCATACAATAAAATCCAAACTCTGTATCTCAACTCCTTGCCCGACATTGCTGTAAAAAGCTGTTTTTCAAAAGCTGCAAAGGCCTTCCTTGAGTCATACCTGGATCTTCTGCTCCAGAAAGCGTTTCCCCGAATTCACGGCAGCGTCCAGTTGCTGCAGCAGAGCCCGGATGGTGTCAATTTTGGAGGAGACACCGTTCTCTGTGTTCCTCTCTGAGTTCCGTGGCTGAGCTTTGTGGCTAAGTGCCGGCAGGCCACTGATCAACCGCAGCGTCAGGGACCGGATCCGCAACCAGATGGTCTCCTCCTCCAAGGAAAGCCTCCGGTTGTCTTCAGAAATGCACCTGGGAAGGGACATGTGTGTGAGCCCACAATGGGAAGCACTAAAACACTGCCTGTTCACATGCTCCCAAAACCAAGCCCAAAGGGAGGAACTGACCTGTCTTTTGGATCCCAATTAAACAAGACAGTGAGGTCTCGGTTATCTTGCAGATCATTCCAGGGAATGTCGTCGTCTTCGGGACTGAGGCTCATGGACTTTATACTTTCTTCTAAACTGGTTGATCTATGTGGGGGGCAAGACAGAAGGACAACATCATATGCTGAAGTCTGGTGCTGGTCATCGACCATAATAAACAAATGTATATCGTATGCTGAAGAAATGTCAAATGAGACAATGTAACTGAAAACCCTAGAGTCAATTGTTCACTGTTACAAGAATGCACTCATCTTTCCCAACCCATCTGAAATGATGTAAGTGGGAAATGGGGAAAGGATGCCCCTCTGTGCAAACAATCCAAGTTGTGCCCCAGAAATTACATCCTGCAACCTGAGTCAATTATATAAAGAAGCTGATGTTAGAATACTATGTAGAAAGACAGAAGGCAACTAGTTTAACTACATTTGGGTCTCTCCTGGGAGGCATCCCTATACACTCTGAAGCCACAGCATCTCACTTTATCCCCTTTGAGGCTACCCAGCCCCCTAAAAAGCATTCCTAACATTAAAGGGACCCCTGCAGACTTACATATTTGCTTCAAGTAACAGGTCCAGCAACATCCGTTCGGTGCGGACTTGTGCAAAATGAAGCGAGGAGTTCAGTCGGTTCCTGAAAGCAATGAACTCCGGGATCTTTTCAAATGCACCATATTTATAGGCTTGGATAATGTATTCTGAGGTCTAGGAAGGAAAGACACGACATTCTCAATATGGATTAACATACACGCTTAGAAGATTTTGTACAGAATCAAGAACAATGCTCACTATCCACATTCCTTGTGAGTGAGAACTTTGGGAATGCGGAAGCACTCAATGTCAAAATTGCTCACAATACAAGATGGCATTCTATTTTGGAGTATTTTCTTCAAGTAATTTTTGAATATTTTTTCCAAGTAATTTTTATTTAAAAGTTTTCAAGTATTTTCTATGCCATTGTTTCAATGCCATTTTTTTCAAGTGAAATATTCTGAGTAATTTTTTCAAGTAGTTTTTCCAAGCATTTTTCCCAAGTAATGTATTGTTAGGCTTACAGTCGATCTTAAGACCAATGAGACTTACATGAGTAAGGGAATGATAGAAAGGGAGTGGCTTTATGCGTTACACGTAACACTAATAAATTCCTAAGGGATTGTGTGTTTTCTGGGGAGGAGAAATTAGAAAAGAAACATGAGGCCCTTTCGCCACTTACATCTTTCTGGTTGGAGTGGAAAAACCTGAGTGCAAAGTTGCAGGACTGCGACGCGGCAGCGTAGTGACCAAAGGCTGCAGCATAGCGGGTCAGCAAGTAACTTCAAGGAAAAGAGAAAAATATTAGAAACAATGAGAGAAGGGCTTTCCAAACACCTGGAGAACCAAAGGTCCAAAAACATTCTGAAAAATGTTGGCTATGATAGCACTCGCTGTAAAAAACGGGACTCTGAATGGAGCCACCAGAGACCTTCATGGCCTGACTACCCACCCAATTGTGTCATGCTGAATGTGCTTTGCATCCAGGCTGGAGTAGAGCTCCACAACTGGCTCAAAGGCCCCGAGAATGCAGTAGATTCGGATGAGCAGCAGCTTGAACTGAGCATTGGAGGGACTGTGGGTCAGACCTTCCTCCAGCAACGCCAAGCACCGCCAGGAAGCTGCCTCTTCACCTGGAGAAAGAACGTGATGCCAAATCAGCCTTGAGGTCCAGAAAGAACATTGCCGAATCAGCCTTGATATCCAAGGTGAGAGAAAGAAGCAGCCCCCTGTTTCCCAGTGTGGCAGTTCCCCCCATGAATTGTGCTGGGAGAGAGGATATATATAAATATCGTATTTCATTCTATAATAGCCACCATGATCATGCAATGAAAATAAATTTGCTTTTGATTCTTCAATTTCTGCTTTTTTAATAAATAAATAAATAAATAAATGGCCTTACTTTAATAATAATAATAATAATAATAATAATAATAATAATAATAATAATTTATTTCTGGACCGCCCTCTCTCCCCAGAGGGACTCAGAGTGGTTTACATACATAAACAAAAGCAAAGATTCAATGCCATAACTAAATCACACAATATGAAAAGATGAGAAATAAACATTAACAGACTTATTACAATAAGAGAATTCAGATTAAAATAATAAGAAATACAAATGCTAAGGAAAACATAATTACTGTATATACTTGAGTATAAGCCAAGTTTTTCAGCACTTTTTTAGGCTGAAAAGTTAGGTGCCTTGACTTATATTCAGGTAAGCTTATACTTGAGTATATACAGTACATTTATTCTTTTACTCTATTATTATAATTATATTTTAAATTTTACTCTATTATTATTGTTATTACATTTACATTCTTTTACTCTATTATTGTTATTATTACATTTATTAGTTTACTCTATTACTGTTATTACATTTATTAGTTTACTCTATTATTATTGGAAGGATATGGATGCACATTTACACTGAAGAAGGTTAGAATAATGATTTAATCTAAAATTACAGTTTTATGTAAATATTCAAAAATATTTAACCGTACTGATGCCTCAAATTAATGTAATTTTACTGTTATCTATTTTTATTTTTACTTTTGAAATTTACCGGTAGCTACTGCATTTCCCATCCTTGGCCTATACTCGAGTTAATAACTTTTCCCAGTTTTTTGTGGTAAAATTAGGTGCCTTGGCTTATCTTTGGGTTGGTTTATACTTGAGTATATAAGGTATACCAATAAAATGTAATTGCACAGAAGCATATAACCTAAACAATTAAAACAATCAAACTGCAAAGGTGCCAAGCATCAGTTGTAAATAGACCTTAGCAGCCATAAAGTGCTAGTTGTGCTAGTCTTCCTCCTGTCCATACACCAGCGGTTCTCAACCTGTCGCCTGGCCATTTCAGAGGGGTCGCAATGTTGCCTTCTTTGGTCCCGCCTCCTGGAATAGCAGCCGGGCCCCGGGGCCACCCTCTTATCGCCCCCTTCGAGGCCTCAAAAAGCGGCGAGAGGAGCATGGGGCAGGAGGAGCATCCAGACTTGCCCTCGCCCTTTTCCTCTGGGCTCTTCCTCCTCCTCCTCTCCGTCTGGGGACTTCCAAACGGAGAGGAGGAAGGGGAAGACCCTGGAGGAGAAGGAGGGCAGGCTCGCTGCTTCTGCAGCCCTGTGTCACCCTCTTCTCGCCCCTTTCGAGGCCTCCGCTGCTGGTGGAAGCCTCGAAAGCAGTGAGAGGAGCGTGGGGAAGGAGGAGCAGCCAGTCTTGCCCTCGCCCTTTTCCTCTGGGCTCTTCCTCCTCTCCGTTTGGGGACTTCCAAACGGAGAGAAGTAGGGGGAAGACCCTGGAGGAGAAGGAGGGCGGGCTTGCTGCTTCTGCTGTCCCAGCTCCCTGTATTTAGGGGTCACGGCTTTAGAAAGGTTGAGAACCACTGCCACACACTAAGGTACATAGATGTGTTTTCAGAAGTTTATTGAAGGAGAGTGGAGGCCATTTTTATTTCTTTAGGATGGGAGTTCCAGAGGTGGGGGCCCATTTATCATTCCCACCAACCGCACTTGGGATGGGGGGAGGGGGTGGGACCGAGAGCAGGGCCTCCTTCACTGACTGAAGTGCGTGAGGTGGTCTATATAGGGAGATGCAGTTAGACAAATAGCCTGGACCTGAGCCTTTAGGACTTTATCTGAAAGAGGAGGAAGTGGAGGAATGATACAGCCTCCAACAATCACTAGTTTGGGTACCCGGCAATCAGTTTCTGTTTGTTTTTTTTTAAACTGCCTAGCCAAGGAGGAAGGAAGATCCCCTTTTCTCCTTTCTCCAAAGGCAAGGCAGTTTACAAAATCTGAAATAGTTTTTAAACTGCCTTGCCTTCAGAAAAGGAAGGAAGGAAAGGAAGGATGGAGGTAGAGAGAATCAGCCTCAAACAGTTCTGCAACTATTATGAAAGGAAAACAAAAATACCAATTTTGCCACCCAAAAATGGGGGTGCGACTATTACATGGTGGCAACCAACATACAGTGAAAGGGCCGGGCTGGTAGCACAACTGGTTAAACAGCTGCAATAAATCACTGCCGACCGAAAGGTGGCACGTTTGAAACCCGAGTCGGGGTTGAGCGCCCAACTGTTAATAACTGTTCAAAAAAAAAAAAGCTGTTCAAAAAATGCCCAGCTCACTGTCGACCTAAACAGTTCGAAAACAGCTGTGAGTAGAGGAATTAGGGACCGCGGGGAGGCTAATTTATGACACCATAAAAATGCTGGAGAGCAAGGAGGAAATACTGCGATCAAAAAGGCTCGACGTCCTAGTGGATGAAGCGACAGCTCCCCCTGTGGCCGAATTGAGCAACCTCCAAGAAGAACTGCTGAATGGCCTCTATCTGTCTGTATGTCTTGTATGTCAAAAATGGCATTGAATGTTTGCCATGTATATGTACATTGTGATCTGCCCTGAGTCCCCTTTGGGGTGAGAAGGGCGGAATATAAATACTGCAAATAAATACATACTGTAAATTTCCGAACAAGTAAAGGATTCTAACCTTACTAGAGAGAAAAACCTGATGCACTTCCTCTGCACCATTCATCATTTTATACACCTATCACACCTCCTAACTTGCCACCCCCCCTTCTAAACTAAATGTCCCTGAACACTGTAACTTTTCATCAAGGGTGACTCCAAACCCTTTCTCATTTTGTCTGCTCTGTTCTGAGCTTGATTCCCACTGGGACTTCCAAGGACGTACCTGCCTCGAGCCAGATGTCAAGGAGTAAATGGACAGCAAGGAGACAATAGTAGTCGGAAAACTGCAACTCTGTCTTCAAACAGGATTTGCCTGTGGAAAAACAAAGGCAGGTCAGGTAACTTAGAAGATTCCAGCTCTTAGACATGAGCGATGAGTTAGCTTCATAAAATTACAGTCTCATGGATTATTGGCGTATTTGCTCAGTCAGGCTTTATTAAATAGAACGTAACCCTGTTATTTTTTAATACTGTCATTTCAGTGTCCATTTCTTATTTTGAGTAGAACTAGACTGTTTGGTCAATGCAGAAAGCCATTCCTGGCAGGAGAAGTGGACTGCAGCCCTTGAAATCTTGCATTATAAGAAATGCAGTAGCCCCTGAAGTGCCACCAAGACACTCTGCAGTTTTTCTCCACTGTAACAGACTAACATGGCCATTTTACTTGTTACAAGTACAATATAAAAGAAAATAAGCTATACACATAATAAAAGTAAAAATATCTATGTATGTGGGTGAAATGTCCACTTACAGACAGGCTCCCACTTCCACAAACAGCTATAGTTCTCAATACTCAGGAGACACCAGTGGCCCTCCCTCCAATGACATTGCAGGTTATAGTGAGCGCTATGAACACGTCCAAGAGTCCCGCCAATGTCCTCCACAAACACCATACTGCCCACCACCCAGGTGAAGGCTTTCATATGGGGACAATTTCATGCTAGATTTCATGTGTTTCCTCCACTACAGGCATCCCAATGTTCCTTTCTCTCTCCATTGGTGTGGAACTTGTATGACTCCACCCACCGCCTCCCCCTTAACCCTTTCCTATTCTTTTCTATGGCACACAGCAAACAGAGGAATTCATCAGCAACTGAACATACTAGAGAGGTTTGGGGAGAATTCACCATGATTTATAGGAGTTGCAGGTACTGGGATACATAGTTCACCTGCAATCTAAGACCACTCTGAACCCCACCAATGATGGACCTGGAACTAACTTGGCACACAGAACCACCATGGCCAACAAAACATACTGGAGGTCTTTGGAGGGATTTAGAGGAGTTGTAGTTCACCGACATCCAGAGCGCACTGTAAACCCAAACAATGATGGATCTGGACCTCACTTGACCTGCATGCCCGATATGCCCAAATTTGAATACTGGAGGGTTTTGAGGGGAATTGGCGTGGACATTTTGGAGTTGTAGGCACTGAGATTTATAGTTAACCTGCAATCAATGAGACCTCTGAACTCCACCAAAGAATTGGATCAAACTTGACACAGAGAGCCCCCAAGACCAGCAAAGAATACTGGAGGTCTATGGGGAAAATTGACCTTGATTTGGGGGAGTTGTAGTTCACCTACATCCAGAGAGCACTGTGAATCCAAACACTGATGGATCTGGCACACAGGCCTGATATGCACACAGGGCTGATATGCCAAAATTTGTTTACTAGAGGAGTTTGGGGTTAGGGTTAGAGTTAGAGTTCCTTTCTGACATTCCTTTCTGGAAGTTGTAGTTCACTCACAACCACAGAAACTGTGTACTCCACCGATGATGGACCTGGATGAAACTTGGCACACAGAAACCCCATGACTAACTCAACCTACTGGAGGGGTTTGAAGGGACTGGGCCACCATAGTGGGAGTTGTAGTTTATCCTATAGCCATAGAGCACACTAAACCACACCGATGATACATCTAGAGCACAAACTTCCCTGACATAACAAACTTTAAGTACTGATGGAGTTTCTCATGGTTAACCTGGCATGATGTGAATTGTAGTTCACCTACAACCGTATGCATTTTTTTCCATAATTCTATGCAGAATAAGTCTCTCCAGAACTTTGTAGAGGTGGCACAGCAGGGAGATTGGTCTGTAGCTTTTTGAATCATTACGGTCTTTGCCTGGCTTCAAGATGGCAATGACTCTTGCTTTCCTCCAGATTTTGGGGATCTGACAGGATGCAGTGCAATTGTTCATCAGCTCCAGTAGCCAGCACTTTGCTTTTGGGCCAAAGTTCTTGATTTGTTCCATCCGTAGATCATCCAAGCCAGCTGCTTTGCCATTCTTACATTTATTGAGAGCCATGTCCAATTCAGTAGATGTAAAGGGTTCATGAAGGTTGTTGTTCTCAATCTCTGGTTGTCTGGCTATTGGTTTCTTTCCTACTTTGGTGGCAAGGTTGGGTTTCCCATTCTTCAAGAGTTGGTGTGCTATCTGATCTGCCTTTATGTTGGCATGGGTATTAGTTTGTGAGGGGTCATTGCTCAACCGTCTTAGCAGCCTCCACGCCTTCTGGCTGCTCCTGCCCATGTCGACCTCTGTGATCAGCTTGATCCACTGTTCTTTCTTGGCTTCAGAGATGGAGGACATGATGCTCTGCGCTGCCTGAAGAGTCTGCTCACTAAATGGGTCTTCGTTGTGGAGCCTGTAATAGTTTTCCAACAAGACAGCTGTTTCAGGAGTAATGCCCTGAAGGTAGTTGGTTCTGCAGCCTCTTGGTATCGATAGACCCATGTCTGATTCCACAGCAAGCTGGCTTCAGGAAAGGCAAAAGCTGCACATCGCAAGTGCTGAACCTGACTCAGCACATAGAAGATGGCTTTGAAAGGCAGCAGATCACAGGAGCTGTCTTCATAGACCTGTCAGCGGCTTATGAGACTGTGAACCACCGCTGCCTCCTCCTGAGAAAAATGTATAGTATCACAAAGGACGACCACCTCACCTGCCTCATAGGAAACCTGCTACAAAACAGGAGCTTTTTTGTTGAGTTCCAGGGCCAGAGAAGCAGATGGCGGAAACAGAAGAACGGCCTGCCTCAGGGGAGCGTGCTCGCTCCATCCATGTTCAACATCTACACAAATGACCAGCCACTGCCAGAAGGGACAGAGAGCTTCATCTATGCTGATGATCATGCCATTACCGCTCAAGCAGGGAGCTTTGAGATGGTTGAACAGAAGCTCTCCGAAGCTCTAGGTGCTCTAACTGCCTATTACAGGGAAAACCAACTGATCCCTAATCCATCTAAAACACAGACATGTGCCTTTCACCTTAAGAACAGACAAGCATCCCGAGCTCTGAGGATTACCTGGGAAGGAATCCCACTGGAGCATTGCAGCGCACCCAAACACCTGGGAGTCACTCTGGACCGTGCTCTGACCTACAAGAAGCACTGCCTGAACATCAAACAAAAAGTGGGTGCTAGAAACAATATCATACGAAAGCTGACTGGCACAACCTGGGATCACAACCAGACACAGTGAAGACATCTGCCCTTGCGCTATGCTACTCTTCTGCTGAGTACGCATGCCCAGTGTGGAACACATCTCACCACACTAAAACAGTGGATGTGGCTCTTAATGAGACATGCCGCATTATCACAGGATGTCGCCCTACACCACTGGAGAAATTACACTGCTTAGCCGGTATTGCACCACCTGACATCCGCTGGGAAGTTGCAGCCAATAGTGAAAGGACCAAGGCAGAGAAATCTCCAGCTCATCCCTTGTTTGGGTATCAGCCAGCACGTCAACGACTTAAATCAAGAAATAGTTTTCTTAGATCTACAGAGACACTCGCTGGAACACCTCAGCAAGCGAGAGTTCAAAAGTGGCAGGCTCAAACCCAGCACCTCAATCCGTGGGTGATACCAGATGAGAGACTCCCCCCTGGGCACACAGAAGACTGGGCGACTTGGAAGGCGCTGAACAGACTGCACTCTGGCACCACGAGATGCAGAGCCAACCTTAAGAAATGGGGCTACAAAGTGGAATCCACGACATGCGAGTGTGGAGAAGAGCAAACCACTGACCACCTGCTGCAATGCAACCTGAGCCCTGCTACATGCACAATGGAGGACCTCCTTGTGGCAACACCAGAGGCACTCCAAGTGGCCAGATACTGGTCAAAGGACATTTAATCAACTACAAGTTTGCAAAATTGTGTTTTTTTATCTGTTTGTTTGTTTTGTTCTGTTAGAAATGTAATACAATGTTCTGGTTGCGGATGACACGATAAATAAAAACCTTATGCATTTTGTACAATTAAAAATGACTTTTTCAAATAACCCGGGCAATACTGGGTACCCAAGCTAGTGATTATATATATAATAATCCACTGAAGGAGTCTGATGAGGTGAGACTGCATCTCTGAAGTTGAGCATAAGAAGAGTCCTACTCGATCAGATCAAAGTGATGAACTATCCATTGGCAGGTGGATAGGTAGACAAGGCAGTACAAGCCTTGTCAAAGGCAAATGGAAGACAATCCAATTTCTTACCAAAATCCAGTCCGTGTCGATACCGCAGCATCAAGTCACGGACAGCAGCCAGCTTATGTGGCTTGTCCATCGCATGGTAAAGGCCAAGCAACCTGGTCAACTGCACGACACACAAGTGTTGCTGCAGCGCTCTAGTGCTCGCTGGGAACGCAAGCGCACCTTCGGTTGGTGGAGACAAGGGGATGATGCCCAACAACTGGTTGATGAACTGCAGAAAAATGAATAGAAACATGAGGTTTATTAAGAGCCTCCTGGTCCCCGTGCCACTTTCATGTGACCCATCCAGGAACAATTTTACATGTATTCAACCCATTCCTGCCTTGGATATTTATTTACAGTATTCAAGGAATAATAAATCTGCTTTTCCTTACACTTAGGCGCATAATTGAAGGGCCACAAACAGGCACAAGACTCTGGATGAGAGATTTCAGAAGGAGGACATCATCATAATCATATAATAATAAAAAATTATATTGTGTTGTTGAAGGCTTTCATGGCCAGAATTACTGGGTTGTTGTCAGTTTTCTGGGCTGTCTGGCTATGTTCCAGAAGCATTCTCTCCACATCTATGGCAGGCATCCTCAGAGGTTGTGAGGTTTGTTGGAAACACAGCAAGTGGAGTTTATATATCTGTGGAATGTCCAAAGTGCGAGAAAGAACTCTTGTCTGCTGGAGGCAAGTGTGAATGTTGCAATTGGCTACCTTGATTAGCATTGAATAGCCTTGCAGCTTCAATACCTGGCTGCTTACTGCCTGGGGGAAACCTTTGTTGGGAGGTGTTTGCTGGTCCTGATTTTTGCTGTCTGGAATTCCCCTAATTTTTTTAATTTTGTTCTTTATTTATTGTGCTGATTTTGGAGTTTTTAAAATACTGGTAGCCAGATTTTGTCTCCACGGTTTCCTCCTTTCTGTTGAAATTGTCCACATGTTTGAACATAGCATATTATTTGATAACACAGAAAAGCTGGACCCCTCTAACAACCACCACGTCAGACTATCAGACTACACAGAGAAGCCATTGAAATCCACAATCATGTGGACATATATAGAAACCCCACTTGCCTAGTTTCCAACAGACATCACAACACCTGAGGATGCCTGCCATAGATGTGGGTGAAACATCAGGAGAGAATGCTTCTGGAACATGGCTATACAGCCTGGAAAACTCACAGCAACCCAATAATTATATTTCTTACAGGCCTCTCCTCAATGTGGGGCACAACATAGTTCAAAAATTCATAAAACTTTATGTCCAATACATAGATTAAAATGTATTTTGATGAAAAACACGTATTAGAATAACAGGACATGAGCTTAAAATTCATAGTTAAAAATTGACATGAAGGGGAAATGCCACACCTTTCACCAGTGACCCCGGATGGTCATTGCCAGCAATACTGCCAGCTCTACTTTATGCAAAACAGTCACTTCTATCCTAATATTTATTCAGAGAACAACAAGAAAGTCACAATTGCTTGAATGCAGTGACGTCTCCAAACCGCTTTGAAATAGCATTTGCTGGATTACTCCCAATTGTCCAGTGACCTTTGGCAACAGCCAGCCAAAGAAGGGAAATATTCAAATAAAAAAACCCTCATGTCACCACAGCGATACCATAGTCCTCAGCAATTTTGTTTAGAGTCCCTGACAAGACTAGGGAAGCTTTGCATTTAACCATCTAACCACAGGGGCTTAGGTGAACAATGGGGGCTGCACTGAGATTCTCCACAGCTGAAATCACCCTGCAAAACCATCCCTGCCAACGCAGAGACTCCTTTGCAGTGAACAGGAAGATAGGAGCCCTGTGATGCCCCTAAGCCTCCACTCTTTCATGTTGTTGCAAAAAAGAGGGTATAACCTGTTTTGCATCTTCCCATGATGGGAACAAATGGAGTAAGCACACTTGAAAGAGAGATAAACCTCCACCTGAAAGGGTTCAAATGATTGCAGGGCTGACCTTTGTATACTGGGTTGGAGGGAGGAGGTCGACAAACACCTTGATATCAGTAAAGCAGCAGGGCTTGTCCCCAAAACGCTTGAAATATTGGAACATTAATTCTTCTGGATCACCTACACAAATAATAGACAAGCAAGCGAAAATGCCACTTACACAAGTGAAGGAAAACATCATCTCTTTATCTCAATGGCTGAACTATATATCAGGAAATTGATTGTTAAACCGAAATCAGTTCAACGCAGTCCATGACATAAACAGGAAAAGAGAGGATTTGATGTGTTGTTAAAGGCTTTCATGACCGGAATCACTGGGTGGCTGTGAGTTTTCTGGGCTGTCTGGCAATGTTCCAGAAGCATTCTCTCCTGAGGTTTCGCCCACATCTATGGCAAGCATCCTCAGAGGTTATGAGGTCTGTTGGAAACTAGGTAAGTGGGATTTATATATTTGTGAAATAATGTCCAGGGTGGGAGAAAGAACTCTTATATGTTTGAGGCAAGTGTGTATGTTGCAATTGGCCACCCTGATTAACACTGAATGGCCTTGCAACTTCAAAGCCTGGCTGATTCCTGCCTGGTAGAAACCTTTATTGGAAAGGAGAAAACAATGGAAATGAACAAAATTTGACTCCCAGTATTTTAAAAAAACTCCAAAATCAGGACAGTAAAGAAAGAGCAACACTCAAAAAACAGAGGAATTCCAGACAGGAAACAATCAGGGCCAACTAACACCTCCCAACAAAGGATTCCCCTGGGCAGGAAGCAGCTAGGCTTTGAAGCTGCAAGGCTGTTCAATGCTAATCAAGATAACTAATTGCAACACTCACACTTGCCTCCAGCAGACAAGAGTTATTTCTCCCACCCTGAACATTATTCCACAGATATATAAAGCTCACTTGCCTAGTTTCCAATAGACCTCTCAACCTCTGAGGATGTCTGCTATAGATGTGGGCAAAACGTCAGGAGAGAATGCTTCTGGAACATGGCCAGACAGCCCGGAAAACTCACAGCAACAAAGAGCATCAGATGCCTGGGAGCTACACTCCCAATTTACTCCCAGAGGGAGACATTCAATATAGAAAAAACGTCATGCCAAATAATTAAAAAAATGGGCAGTGCGCATCCATTGGGTTTCATTCTTGAATTTAGCCTCAATTTATTCCAAATTATTCACTGCCAATGACTTTTCGGGTGAATTTTTATTCCACATAATATCCAAAGAAACCTCAAGAGGTTTATCACAATTATGATTGGCTTGAAGAACTACTATTTCCAAAGAGTATAACAACTTGCAAGGGACTTCTACATCTATCACTCAAACATCCGTTCCAGTTTCCTTTCTCAGAAAATGAAATCGGTTTTCTTTGCTTTATGGCAGGCATGGGCAAACTTTGGCCCTCCAGGTGTTTTGGACTTCAACTCCTACAATTCCTAACAGCCGGTAGGCTGACTGGGATTTCTGGGAGTTGAAGTCCAAAACACCTGGTGGGCCGAAGTTTGCTCATGCCTGCTTTATGGTCTCTCAGAAAGACGGTGTTTCCTTGAACAAAATGTGCATTGATATACAACAAAAAACAAACACTGTTATCTGGTAAATGCACACAACAGTTTAAGTTTAAGATCCACTGGGGAGGGTCTGCTCTCAGTCCCACCAGCCTCGCAAATGCGTCTGGTGGGGACGAGGGAAAGGGTCATCTCGGTGGTGACCCCCCGCTTGTGGAACTCGCTCCCCAGCGAGATAAGATCAGTGTCCTCCCTTCCTTTCCTTTAGGAAAAAACTGAAATTGTAGTTTTGGAACCAGGCCTTTGTCTAGCAGGCATAACGGCACTTTGGACATTGAAATGGACCATATGATTGTTATAATAATGGAAATGGTTATATGATTGTATAACTAATGTTATTGTTTTTAATCTATTGTGTGTTTATGGTTTTATACTGTTGTTATATTGTGATATTTGCGGCATCGAATTTTGTTGCCAGTGTTAGCCACTCTAAGTCCCCCCCTCAGAGGTTGAGAAGGACAGGGTAGAAATGTTGTAAATAAATAATAAATAAATAAACAGATCTGTGACTTGGCTTTTCTGGGAGTTTAACACCACTTTACAAAGAATTATCAGGAGTTATACTTGCAACTGTTAGACACACTGTACATAAAAAATGGAAGACAGATACACTTTACTTCATAATGACTGAGGATTGATCTACTTGGTTTGCGATACAACTTGAAGTGGTGCATCTGATAAATGTGCTGGTTTCTATAGCATAAGAAACTAAACGTTCCCTGCAATGCACCAATTCAAGCGACTTTACGATGCTAGTCAAGGCATCCAAATGCTTACCGTCCACCCACCAGTTATTGTTCCATGCCAAGGATGAAAATGGAGGATAAGCACCGTCTTCCCAAAGCACGGGAGGATTTCTGCAATTCTTAAACCAAATTTGCATCAGCTCCTGCAATCCCAGGATGAAGCATTGGCTTTGCTTTCGCACACTCTTCCCTTGCGGACCCATCAAGCACCTTCCTAGCTGCCCTTACCCAATCTGTGCTCTTCGCTGCAGCCTCGGTGCCGCAAGCGCCGGATCAGCTCTAGCTGGGCCAGGTAAGGTCCCCGGAGCGGGCGGACACTGTTGGCTTCATGGATTATCCTCTGCTCTACGAAAGCCACGGCCTGCTCTGTGCTGTGATGTACTTCGCCTTCCAGAGAGCTACAGACAAGAGAGAGCATCTAAGTCCCACCATGTCCTGGATGTCCATCTCTATCAAGAGCCAGCACAATCTGTTGCTAATTCTAGTCGCTAGCCATTGTTTTCAATCTCTGGTCATCTGAATACTTTGGACTTCATTCTCAGCATCCTCTACCAGCAGACACAATGGTCAAGATTTCCGGTAACTGAAGATCTAAATAGTCAGGGAAGGGTGCAAAGGTTGAGAACCACTGTTCTAACTCATGCTTCAAAGCCAAGGAGTCTGCACTGTAAACACCAACAGAATGACTGCCCTAAAGCCTTGGGAGAGACCTAGGGCCATAATTTCAGACCGACCACTGCTAGTGCACCACTCAATTCAGCCTCTGGCACTTTCCTGTTCCCCAAGATAGTCCTGATTCCAAGTCTTCCCCCTCTTACACTGTATCTCAGCAAAGGACTCTTTCACCATTTCCACACTAACACAACAATATTGATTATTATTATTTTATTATTTGTATTTCTATCACGTTTATCTCTCTAGAAAAGAGACTAAAATGTCTCACAGTAACACCAATGCAATACAATACAAAACCTAAAATAATATACAAACATTAATATAGAACTAAACTTGAATAGTCTTTAAAAAAATAAATAGTCAAAAACCTTGAAAACCAATTAAAAAACCCATTCATATAGCTTAAAAAAACTCCACTCCCTGACTTGATTTGAAAAACGAGAAGAACTTCCTTCCAAAGTCCCAGCCGCCATGGGAGAAAGTGTCCTTACCTAAGCTTCAGCCCTTTGGATTTGCAACACTGGCTTACAATTGTAATATGGCTTTGGTGAAAATGAGTGGTAAAGTAGAAGAAATTGCAATATACTCCTTTTTGCTAGACTGGAACAAGAAATCTTTAATTTAAATACTACCTAAGTAATTGAGGGGAGGGACAAAATATCTGGATTTAAGAGAACCCCTAATACATTCAAGGGTGGGTCAAAAAGTTTTGCCTCCTGTATCCGAAAAATGTTATGAATGAACATATAACAGCAGAAGTTGCCTGAACTGTACTCTACTCAAAACTACATCATTCCAAGGTGGTTAAACGATCTAGATTTTGGCACCAAACAGTGCTGCATTTAGAAGCAAGGTATCACCAAGTGTACTAAGTGTACTCTCAAATTGATTCCCTTCTATGTCTTTGCAACTCAAGCCTTGACCAAAGGACTTTGTCTTGAACCACATCCAGATAAAAGAGCTTTTCTACCAGAAGCCCCACCATGGCCCTACTGTACAAAGCTCTCCAGTAAAAACATGGAATTTCCCCAAGCCTTCCAGCAAAAGCAATACACTCACTGCTCTCCTTCAGCCGGAGGACTCCAGGCTGTGTCGATCAGTTGAAAGAGGGAGTCAAAGTAAATAATATAGAACTGCCAATCATCTGGACTAAAACAAAAGAGAAGAAGAACTAAGCACATATATCAAAACTGTCTCTCAACTAAACGTATAAACGTTAAAATAAAATAAAAACCCAACCAAAACAGTGTAATACACAATGAACAATGCTTTCCCCCTGAGCAATCAGTCCCTCAAAGGTCTGCTGAAACTAAGAAAGGTTTTGCCTGCCAACAGGCAAGCCCTCTAGGCTGATGTTTCTGAGGAAGATGAAAAACAACAACAGCTTTTAGGTGTACAGCCAGGAACCTTAAGACAAAGAGGCCTAACAGGAATAAGTGATAACTCACTTTTTAAGCAGAAGTTGTCTCGAGAGAGCATTGCATTCCGGCCAGTTGCCCAGTTTTTTGTACATCTCCATGCACTTGTTCTCTCTGCTCTGGAGCTCACTGGTTAACTTCTCTACATTGAACAAAGGTACACATTCCAACCATCAACATATGTTTAAATATTGTCAATAGGTTCCTCCTTATCAACATCAGCTAACTACTGGAGTTCTAAATACTGTACACATGTAAGCCTCACTGAATTGTATTTAATGGATTACGTTTTAGAGAGTATGATCAAAGACATTCATTCCTGTTTGGATGCACTCGTATGTTACCCCATTTAATTGAATCTGCTTTAGCTTTTTAAAAAATGTTCTTATACATTTTGCACAAAGTCCACCATTCTACTGCGACAGGGCCACTACACAGGGATAGCTACCTCATCAACTGATATGAAGAGATAATATTGTTTCTGAACAAAGAGGTTCTGCTTTTAGCTATCACTCAAGTAAGGGCTTAGAAGTTACTTAATTCAACAGAAAGATAGGTTACCTCCTAGTTTTCCTCTCACAACATCCAGAGCTTCCTGGTATTTTTCCAAGCGTTCTAGAATCATGTAGTAAAGTTCAACCTACAGACATTGAGGGGAAAAGGAGAAAACCAGAAGCAGGAGTCAGAGAGGTTATCATGACACACAAGGTTACACAAAACAAAATTAAAATGGTTCTATTAAAAATTTAGATATAAATATCCTAAACTAAATTTGCATTTTATTTACTGCAAAAGTTAAAATTACAATGAACCCAGAAGTGTATTTGTTGGGTATGTTGGATGGTCAATTAGAAAAAAAAACATGAAAGATTACTGATATACATTATTATAGCTGTGGGAATCCTCTCTACCCAGATATGGAAAAAAACAGATATACCACCAAAAGAAATCTAGCAGGTGAAGATATGTGAATTAGTGGAGATGGACAAATTGAAAATGTTGATCAAGAAGAAATCCTTGAAGCAGAAAATTAAGTACAGTTTTTCCTACTGCTTTGCGGTTCACTTTATGAAGACTCGCTGTATCGTGGTTTTTTCCTCCCTCCCCCCTGGAGCCGCGCGGGGGGGGGGGGGGGGAGAAGGAGGAAGTGCTTGTACTACTCCCAGCTTCGGAAGCCCCTTGGGCTCCGAGGACGGAGCAGCAGAGGCGGCGAGGAGGCTCTGCCCACTTGGTGGCAGCCTCCTCCTTCTCACCTGTGCTACCTCCTCCTTCGGAAGCCCCTTGGCCTCAGTTTACGGCACTGGCTGGTCTGGCAGTGCCATCAGCAGTGCCCAAGGGGCTCTGAGGACGGAGCAGCAGAGGCAGCAAGAAGGAGGAGGCTCCACCAACCTGGCGGAGCCCTTCTCCTTGCCGTCTCTGCTGCTCCCGGCTTCTGAAGCTCCTTGGGCTCCACTGACGGCACTGCCAGACCAGCCTGGCAGCATCACCAACAGCGCCCAAAGGGCCTCCGAGAATGGGATCAGCAGAGGCGGCAAGGAGGACTCTGCCAAGTGGGCGGAGAGTCCCCATTTCTCTTATTTTCACTTATCACGGGTGCTCCTGGAACGGAACCCCCGCGATAAGTAAGGGAAGACTCTATACCAGGGGTCCCCAAACTTTTTAAACCGGGGTCCGGATTACTGTCCCCCAGACCATTGGAGGGCCGGACTATAGGTTTTTAAAAAAAACAATGACCAAATTCTATGCACACTGCACATGTCTTATTTCGCTACTGTTATTAATCGTAATGTAAATATCTGATAAGCACGATGTATTTTTATTGTTACAATCTGAATATAAAGCATAGTGATGAATCACAAAAACAATATGTAATATACATTGTGAAATATTTATTTCTAATTACAAATAAATGAAATTTTGATTTCAAGCATGTCACAGCATGTGTAACAGTCTTAATATAACAGCAGGGAATCCATGAATTCGTTGACTGTTCAGCCCTCAGTGAGGACAAAACTACACAATTTGTTTGTAACTTGGGGACTACCTGTCCAGGTTGGGTCGCAGGGGTCACAGAGACGACTGTACAGAAGAATAATACCTGGCAAAGTCAATGAAAGATTAAATGTCTCTGACCTGGAATGCTAAGCAGGGCCAGTTCTGGTTAGTATTTGGATGGGAAGCCACAAATGAATAGCAGGTGCTCTATTTCAAAGAAAGAAACTGACAAAACTATTTTTGAGTATTTCCTCTCAAAGAAAACCCTATTAAATTAATGGGGCCGCCATAAATAAAAGGACAACACACCCAATAGAAAGAGAACACACACCCAACCATGGGCTGCGGAAAGCAATATAGGAGTACAGAGAAAAAGATAGCTTTAGCATTTCTGAAAATAAAATAGTTCCAATGAAAATGAGGAAAAAAATTATATTTTCTGTCGTTTTGAAAGTGGTTTTTGGAATATGTAAGCATGAGTCCCCTTTCAGGGGGAGAAGGGCAGGGTATAAATATAGGAAATAAATCTATATAAATAAAAATGTAATGTACATTTGTGGGATTAACAGAAATCAAAAACCACTGGACACTTAACAACCCAATGTATGTCCTTCACTCAAAAAAATTGATTTTGACATTTGGGAGTTGTAGTTCCTGGGATTTATAATCAAAGAACATTCTGAACCCCCCCCCCCCCCCGCCAACGATGGAATGGAACCAAACTTGGCACACAGTTCTCCCCTGACTAACAGAAAATACTGGAAGGGTTTGGTGGGCAGTGTCCTTTGGTTTTGGAGTTGTAGTTTACCTACATCCAGAGATCACTGTGGACTTAAACAAGGATGGATTTGGACCAAACTTGGAACAAATACTCAATATGCCCAAATGTGGACACTGGTGGAGTTTGGGGAAAATAGACCTTGACATTTGGGAATTGTAGTTACTGGGATTTATAGTTCACCTATAATCAAAGAGCATTCTGAACCCCACCAACGATGGAATGGAACCAAACTTGGCACACAGTTCTCCCCTGACTAACAGAAAATACTGGAAGGGTTTGGTGGGCAGTGTCCTTTGGTTTTGGAGTTGTAGTTTACCTACATCCAGAGATCACTGTGGACTCAAACAATGTTGGATCTGGACCAAACTTGGCCAGACCAGGCTTCTCCCTCTTTCCTTCCTTCCCCGTGCCCCTTCCCCTTCCTTCCTTCCCTTCCTTCTCCTTTCCTCTCCCTCCTTCGCTCCCTTCCTTTCCTTCCTTCTTCCTTCTCTCCGTGGGGACACCGAGCCAGGCGCCGCCTCCGCTTGTCTCCTGGCATGGCTGGGAGGGAAGCAGGCGGCGTCTCGTAGCCACGGAGAACAAGGGAGCGCAGCAGAAGAAGATCCGTGGCCATGAGGTGCCTCCTGTTCCCCTCCCAGCCGCGGCAGGAGAACAAGCGGAGGTGGCGCCGGGTGGGCGTGGCCAGGCAGCGTTGGCTTCCCCGGGCTGGCATCCGGGGGGGGGAGGGAAGGAAGGGAGGGAAGGAGGGAGGGGAAAGGAGAAGGAAGGGGAAGGGGAGAGAAAGAGGGAAGGGGAAGGAAGGAAAGAAAGAAAGAAAGAGGGAGAAGCCTGGTCCGGCGCGACCCCGCCTGAAGCCGCTCCGAAGGGGGAGAGAGAAACGGCGAGGGGCTTTGCGCCAGGCCAGGCCGCGCGGGCCAGATAAATGCCCTTGGCGGGCCGTATCCGGTCCGCGGGCCTGAGTTTGGGGACCCCTGCTCTATACCTACACATATGATCTGAGATAAAACTGGCTCAAAATGATATATAGATGATATATCACGCCACAAAAGATATCAAAATGTTACAAAAATGCATCCAACAAATGCTGGAAATGTGAACAAGTAGGTACTTTTTTCATGCATGGTGGACCTGCTCAAAAGCCAAAAAAATTGGAATGACATACATGGAGATATCCAAAAGATTTTACAAATTAATATTCAAAAGAAACCAAAACACTTTTTATTAGAAAGGTTGGATCTTGATAAAGATACAAATAAAGATATACTGTTTAACTAACGGGCTATTGCAGCCAAAACAGTATATGCGAAAAACTGGAGATCCAAAGAGTTACCAAAAAAAAGAAGAATGGCAGCACAAGGTTCTGGAGATATTGAACATGGACAAATTAACATACTGGTTATCTCTGAACCAGGGATTACCAAAGAAACAAACGAATTTGAACCCAGTTAAGGATTATTTTAAGCAACTGAAAACAGACCTTATAAATTGAAAAGATCACAAGAGGATATATAGGGGACAAAGGGGACTGTGACAGTCTACCATATAAACAATTATATTGAAGAAAGACTAAACAAGCACCAAAGATTAGATGGAAGTCAACCCACAATTTTTTAATCGATTTTTTACTCTTCCCCCCCCCTTTTCTTCTTTCTTTTTTCTTCCCTTTCTCCTTCTCTAATATTTCTAACTTTCTTAGACATATATTGTTCTCCCACTTTCGATGTAAAAGAAATACTCTTTTCAACTCTTTGTTTTTTATAATAATAAAAAATTAAGTGACAAAAAGAAGAAATCCTTGACTAAATTCAAGAAGGACTGGGACATATTTTTTGCTTTGATACAGCAAAGATGGGATAATCTTCAATCATTGGTTTCTGATATAGAAGAGTGTTATTAAAAATAGAAAGGGAGAAATAAAATGATACTGAAAGGGACCCACAAGAAGTTAAAATCAAGCAAGAAGTGGGAGGCTCATAGATGAGTTTAGTAGGAGTTTGTTCAAAATGTGTAGAGGTTTTATGTGGCAGAGAAAGCTGTGTGAGTTACTTTTATATATAACTACTGTATGTACTTTGTTTGCATGTACGCCCACAAAGGGCTACGGGATCAAGAAGACCAGGTATCTACAGAAGGCAAGTGTCATCAGCACCATGGGGAGCGACAGTCATAGTGGCGGTGGCACTCAGCTGGGGGACCTCTAGACCTCAGTACCGAGGGTGGGCCCCTGTGTTGCTCTGCCTCAGAGGGCAGCACAATCAAGGCTGACTGAGGGGGAAGCTGAGTCTCGGTATCGTCGCCCGGGGTAAGCCTAGGGACTGATGCTGGGCCTCCATTCCCCCTGCTTGAAATTGGGCCTCTATGGGAATTAATGGGGTGGTGCTTCCCTCAGTGAGGAGGGAATCGAGGGTTCTTGGTCCCGGTCCATGGCCCCATTCGGCGAGGGATTTTGCTCCAAGTGAAGAGGGCTCAAGGGCTTTGTGCCAATGCGTTGATGTCCTTTTTAATGCTTCTTTTGTCCCTCTTTTGATTTTGCCGCCGTGTGAGGCTGTTTAGGGACTTTAGCCCTCTTTTTCGCAACCTCTGGGGGAGGGTGATCACTTTCCACAGCCTGAGGTGCCATCACACCTGTTGGAGACACAGATTCTTGTGCTCCCAATGCGGAGGGGAGTGACGGGTTCAGAGGTTGGGTGTTTGTTGGGCCATGCATTCTCCGGAGCCAGGACTTGCTCATACGAGAGCATTTAGGTGACCCTTCCTGTTGTGGTGCTCCTGGGAGGTAAACACCTGGCAAGTCTGGAAGGTCTGAGAGACGTGAGTCTCCCCCAGGCACAAAAGACACATGTTGTGTCTGTTCGAGTCTGGGAGTTTACCTCCACAGGCTCTGTATTTTTTGAAGAAAAGAGTAGAAATGATCAGGCTATAACCTGGCCTGACAGCACATAATCGGGAGATCCAAGGTCCGGAGTGGAGAAGGACACATTGTTAGAAGGGGTCCAGGTCGAAATCCAAGGCAATCAGTCCAAAAGTGTCAAGTTAACTGGGAAAGGCAAGTGAGTAGTCAGTGAGGAGTCCAGTCGGGCCAAGAGTCATTAGAACCATTAGAAAGAGATACAAAACTGCTAATTAATTGTTGCTTGTCACAGTGGAAAAAAGGAACTGAGGCTTAGCCCCGCCTACAGGCATTTATAGTACTTGGGGAGCCTCTGCCAAAATGTTTCAATCTATAAGCTCTAGAATGTTCTGAACTGATGCGTATGCACAGTGAAAACCCGTATGCATTTTTCACAGACACCACAAAGAAATGAGTTTCACTATGTTATTTTAAAAACTTACTTCAGCCTCAGCTTCAATTTTATCTTCCTTCACCATTTTTTCAACCATCCTCTCAGCCAGGGGCAAAAACATGGTCTTGGAGAGTTTTTCATCCTGCGCAGAGATTGACTGGAAGAGAACAACATATGGAACCGTCTTATACAGAACTCGCCTCTGGCTTCCCAAGCCTGGAACAATCTTCTCCTATTAGAAGCAATTTCTTTCTATCTCACCTTCATTAACTGTACATTGCAAGGGTTGAATCGGCGACCCTTCATGAACAAAGCAGGCACTCTACCCATTCCTAGTCAAACAAAAAACTGGGAGCATTTTGACACACAATGGAATCCCTCCCATCACTCATTCATAACATTGCCAGATAGCATGACAATGCAAACAAAATGAATTCTATGTCATTTAAAATAAGAAAATAACACATGCAGCTCTAGCCAGTCAGGCAGTCCTCCAATTCACTTTAAGGTGCAAAATAGAAATCTTGCTCATTTGAGGAGAATACAAAAGCATTTTGCCAACAGCCTTTCAAACAATCTTGCCAGAACTTCAGCAAACATCAGATAACAACCTCAAAACATGGACATTCAACAGAGCAATTACAGGTTGAGCAAAGGAAAGCGATCAATGGTCATGTCTTAACTCTGCAAACATTCCAGGACAAAAAATTGTTCGTTCTCTTTGGACTGGGGGCACCAGGGATTGGTCTAAAAGAGTACTTCATAGTGTGGCAATGAGAGTTCCAGAATTTCCTCCATAGAGACACACAGGTTACTTCACAACATGCCTACCTAAGGTCTCCAAGTTGCCACAGTACAAACACAAGCAACATTTTGCACTAGCAATATGCATTCAGTCCATCTCGAAAATCTACCCAGCATCTACATCCCCTCTCCACACACAAAGGATGGCATGAGGTATCATTTCAAAGGCGACATTTTCTCCTTCAAGACACTGTACTCACCTGCATAATCAAACTCATCACTGACCAAAAATAGTATGGGTTTTTGGGAACAATCTTATAAAGTGCCATTCCAGCCTGAAAATAAATAAAGGAGGTGTAAATAAATAATCCAAAATGATTCACAGTCTAAAAGCAACTTGAAATAAATTATGGGCATTCTGGCCAGTGTATGTCCTGCAGGAAAATTCCCCAATTTACTACTGAAGAAAAGTACAGAGATGGGGAAAAGCGCGCGCACACACACACACGAGCTTTATTTTCCAATTTTGGTAGCAGGTTCATAATGCAGGTAAGGGAGTCATGACAGGGAGCACAACCTTCCATACAGGTTCATCACATGCAGCTAAGTATCATTATTAGAGATACCGTTTTCTCACTAATCTGTGATTCCCGGAAGTCAATTTTAACTACATGTCTGCACATATACAGGCAACCTCCGAGTTACGAACAAGATAGGTTCTGTTGGCTTGTTCTTAAGTTGAATGAGCTTGTAAGTCGGAATAGGTACATTCAAATGTGTATGAGTGGGTCAAAAAGTAATGCCTCATTTGCTCTTTTATTTCTTTCCCAGCTACCGGACTATCTATGCATGATATAATAGAGGTAACCTTACTCTACTGATATAGTCTTTTCTTTTTCCGATTCACTGATTAGAATCATGAATCTGAAGCTGAAAGAGTGTCATCATTGAATTTCTGGTAAAAGAAGATTGTGAATCTAAGGACATCCATCATTGTTTGGAGAATGTTTATGGGGATGGTGTGATGGACATCAACAATGCGGGACCTCTGAAAGACAATCTAGGTGGTTTCAGATTCAATGACCTGAATGATATTCAAACAGCTTGAAAATCATAGGTCACGAAGCAAAAGACTGAATTTTTCCAAAATGGTTTCGAGGCCTGGGTTAAATGATGGCGCAAATGAGTACAAATTGATGTTGACTATGTTAAAGGGTAGTTTTGTGTAGGGGACAGTTCAGGCTATGATCTTTAGCAACTTCTGCTGTTATAGGTTCATTCATAACGTTTTTGTGGCACAGGAGGCAAAAAATTTTAATCCACCCTCATATACTCAAAAGCTTTGGATAGCATGCTGTCTGTGCCCCTGTTCAGAGGATTTCACCTCACTTTCTGTCCCTATAATAATTGGATTTTTTAAAAAATTGGTGTGCTGTGGAAACAAGGATTGGTGAGAAAACTTCAGTGGAGACACATTTTTGCCCTGATAACTCTTTCAGGGGTGAATTTCTTTTCCTAGGGATAGATTTCTCTCACTTCCTGTTGTTTCACCCCCGTTTATAACTATGAATCATTTGTTAAGTCAGAAGTTTGTAACTCAAGGACTGCCTGTAACCTGCCCCAGATGCATATATGTACAGTATAAAAATGGCACTTCTAAAGTAAGTGTTGTACTTTAGTTTCCTGCTAGCACTGATCTCTCACTTAGCAACTAAAATAAAATGGCATTGCATTTTTAAGATTGTAAAAACAATTAGAAGGCAAATGCAAAAAAACAGTAAAGACCTCTCATTCCACAAACAAGTCAGTTTTTAAGAAGGATATCTATTAAATATTTATTTCATTTTCATTGTCTTTCTGCTCCAAAAGTCGCTGCAAAGCTTAGAACCAGGAACTTTCTAAGTGATGAGAAAATCAACCACCTTATTTGCAAGACTTCACCCACAACTGATCATTGCTGTGTATGGATAAGAGGGGATGCTGAGCCCGGCTTTATACCAAGTGTCCACCTGGGGGCAGATGTAGACATTAATTCCCAGAATGAACAAGCAAAGCTCTGATTCAAGCCAGTACCTGTTGCATCTTCTTGTACTCCCCAACTCTTGCATAAGCCATGAAAAGGTGGGAATGGTACTCTTCACTGTTAGGGACTTTCTTCACAGCTGCTTCATAGAGTTTTGTCACCAGCTCAGCTAAAGTAGACATTAAAGGAAAAGGAATACACTAGTAAGGTCTACAGCCTTCCCACACTCTCAAGGAATTTTGCAAAGTACAGGACTGAAAACAAAAACCCACAAGACAGCAATATCCTTACTGGACCAACTAAAAAGCACAACACAACAGAAGCAATGGTCAAAACACTAGGGGGACAACCCATCCACCAATTTCCTCAGTACATCATCTTCAACAGGCACCAATAGGTAAAGCTATGGACCAATCTGAAAAAATGAAGAAAAGGTAACCAGAAAACTCACGTCGATGCATTTCTCGATATAGGATAGTCAGAGCTTGCAATGAATTGTCATCTGTAGGTTCAAGGGCTGCCACTTCTTGTGCCAGAATGAATGCCTCATCTTGTTTCCCAGTTCTCTGCAGGCCAATTGCTTTTAAAACCTGTACAAAGATTAAAACAGCACCTTTTGAAACGGCCAAAAGAAACATCAAAAGCAACCCAACTTGTAAAGTGAAGGAGAGTAATGATGGTTTGAAGGCTGGTAACAATGAGCACAGGATAGTCAACATGATATACCAGTTTGAGTGTTGGACTAGGACTCTGGGAGCCCAGGGTTCAAATTCCCACTCAGTGACAGAAACCCAGGGGTGACCTTGGCCAAGCTGCACTCTCAGCCTCAAAGGAAGGCAAACGCAAACCTCCTCTGAAGAAATCTTGCCAATAAAAGTCCCTATTACACTATGTAACACGATTTTGTTCCTGGGTTATAAATATCATTTCCCAATTGGTTCTATCATAAAAACATGGAAAATGTTTATTAAACTGCAAAAACTTTGCAGGACATCCTGCAGTACATTTTGCTATAGTTTTCCAATATTTTTTTCGTGTCAGGAGCAACTTGAGAAACTGGAAGTCGCTTCTGGTGTACGAGAATTGGTCATCTGCAAGGATATTGCACAGGGGACGCCCGGATGTGTTACCATCCTGTGGCAAGCTTCTCTCATGTCCCTGCATGAAAAGTTGGAGCTGACAGACGGGAGCTCACCCTGCTCCCGATCCAAACTACCGACCTTTCAGTCAGCAGTCCTACCAGCACAAGGGTAGGCACATTGCACCTTCGGAGGTTTCATGTTTTTCAATAATATCTCATTAAGTCTCAACCAATTCAACTTAGTTTGTGGCAGTCACAAAACAAAGTTTCTAGAGTAGAACAACTACTTTCAAAGTAAGTACAATCAAAAATATCACTTTCAAACCAGAAACAGATTTTTTTTTCAAATTTTGTTTCATACTGTTATAGGTTCAACCTAGAGTTCCTTCAAGACAAGGACAACATAAGGGCACATAATAATGGCTGGATGCAAAGGATTTACATGCAAAAGGTCACAGGTTTAATTCCTGAGAAAGACTCAGCGTGAAAACTCCGAAAAGTTGTTGGAGTCAGTATAGAAAACACTGGGTTAGATGAAACAATAGTCTGACTCCCACTGAATCAACATATATGTCTGCCATCCAACACTGTACACAGAATCCTCTAAGCTCCGACTCAGCCAGACATGAAACACAGTGATGGGGTCATAACGAAAGAGCTTCTGCCCCTACTACAGCAGATCTGGGTAGATAAGAGATAATCAGAACAATGAAGCATCATTATAACATATAGTTCCATTTTTCAATCAGGATGTATACACCCTGTTGTAAGTAGACAGGGCAGCACTCAAGTATCTCCCCTGGCAACTTACAAATATCAGCCCCACTCAAGCCTAGAACTTGCTATCAACATTACTGAATAAGATCCAAAACAGAACATTTTTCTTGGGTTTCATCCTGTAAAACCCAGTACTGCCCAGAGTTACATTAGCTTAAAAAAAATGAAAGGCAAAGCAGTCCTGCAACTTTAGAACATAGCAGTTTTCAAACATGTTTACCAGTAACCATGCAGGACAACTCACCGCAGGAGGGTGGGAATGTTTCTGTCCAAGTTTCTGAAGACAGAGGCGCAAAGAGACCTTGCTCCTGGCCCTAACTCTGAGATGAAACTGTGACATAATTAAGAAGCACAACGCTGATCAGCTGAACTATTTGACAAATTGGCTCTAACAGCCAACTGGCCTGCATTCCAACCAGGTTTTCAGAAACAAAAAGTAATATTCCCTTCTTCACTTAGGTCTGTCATAAACAAAGGGGCTCTGTTTAGATGTTGCTGCTCCAATCTTACTCTGTTCTCCACCATCTCCCCTCCCCACCTCATAAATATTGCTGCATGCAAACAAGACTTCTCAGCACAATTGCTTGCTTTGTCCCGGTACCCCTGCTGCTCCAGGCAGAAGCCAGACCACCCCCAAATACATACCTAGGACTTCACACTAGAGAATTAAACCACTTTAAATCCAGTTGCTGCCTCCTGCAGAATTCTGGGGTTCATAGTTTAGGGAGGAGCCTTTAACAGCCTCACTAAACTACAAATACCAGAATTCTGTAGGAGGCAGAAACCAGATTTAAAATGGATTCATTCTATAGTATGAAGTAGCTAGTTTCAAGGGCTGCTCTGCTTGCTTCCAGCACACGTATAAAACAGAAAGCACAAACTGACATTTGCAAGCGTATTCTATTTCTCTTCCCTCAAAATGTTTGGAATAGAATTTTTCATGACGGTTAACTAACTTTTCTTTTACAAGTAGCACAAACTGTTCTTTTTGCATTACCCTTCTACTAAGTTAACATTCTAAATGTCTTGGTCATAGTTAGGTAATATTTAACCCCATGAGACCCTGTTAACTGATCAACACTAATTGCCTTATTAAACCAAACCACAACAAAGAAGTTTGAAAAAAAGTTACAAACTGGTTTCTCTTTTGCTTCTCCAATAGTTGGGATGTAGATTAAAGTATCAAATTTGCTCTCGTTTGCTGGGAGCTTAGGTCCCTTCCACACAGCTGAATACAATTCCACATTATCTGCTTTGAACTGTAAGATATGGCAGTGTGGACTCAGATAACCCAGTTCAAAGCAGGTATTGTGGAATTTTCTGCCTTGATATTCTGGTTATATGGCTGTGTGGAAGGGTCTTTAAAGGGAACAAGGATTTAATCAGGAACAAGGTTTCTGTGGCCCTTCTGATGTTGCCCACTTCTGCTTTAAGTGGAAAGAGGGCCTCATGCTGGCAGGGACTCCAAAGCACAAACCCTCACCTCTCTATCTACCCCAAAACTTAACATAAAACAGAAACCTTATTTGCCCACGTTTGCCAAAATTGCAGCTAAGACAAAGTTGCAGATGTTCTGGAGTAGGGCAACTCAAAGTGGCAGCCCATAGAATAGGGCATTGGCTACCAGTCTGCAGCAAATCACCAGGACAGCAACATATATTTGCAGCCATTGGGCTGCCAGGCATGGCTTTCTGGCAGACTGGTCCCCTACAGCGAGAAGTACTGTTGCAGCAGAACTCCAGCCAGAAAAGCAAGAACACCGGAGTAGAGTCTGGCCCTTGCTGATTTAAGATTCAAGAAACAAACAACTAAGCAAGTTAAGACAAATAAGACCTAAGCTCACCTTAGCACAGTGAAGATCCTTGTGTTTTTTCAGCAGTTTGTCTGCCTGCTGGATAGCCATTTTATTATTGCCATTATCAAGATAATCTACAGAAAAGAGGAGGAAAAATATCAGATATTATTACTATATAATGGAAAGATGATTGTCTACTCCCTTGTCTTCTGAGTGGTTTGTATTTTCACTTGCCTTAATCTCAAGGGGAACATGCACATACAATACACAATTCTTACATTTCTAAAAGCATTATAAAGGGTAGGTTCTTATGTTGTTTAGACAGCAAAGGGCACAGGTCCTTTCCTTAACTATCCTGAAGAGGTGGCTACCATCCTTGCTACCTGATAAATGGGGAAACAAAATGCCGCCATACACTGTCAACAGGAGCAAAAGCAGAAGTCCAAATATTGGTCCCATTTAGAGAAAGGGTTGCAGTAAGGGATTTCTTTTCTCCACAAGCATACATATAGGGGGAAGTGGAAGAAATACTATCTTGGAGGGTCCAGCCAAGGATCACATCACAAGGCTCATATCAGCCCCCTGCATCCCAGCAGGAAGAGTATGATGGTATGAAGACAAGTCAGTACTATCTTGAAGTCCGGTTTTCATTCATAGTTCTATGCCCCATACACAGATCATGAACAACATTCAGAAAGTTTTAATTTGGTCCCATGCTAGTAAAAGATAAAGGTTTCCCCTGACATTAAGTCTAGTTGTGTCCAACTATGGGGAGTGACACCTCCTAGGTCCTGTGGCCAACATGACTGCATGGAGCAACATTATTTTCCCAGTACCTATTGATCTATTCACATTTGCATGTTTTCGAACTGCTAGGTTGGCAGAAGCTGGGGCTAACAGCGGGAGCTAATTCCGCCCCCCAGATTTGATCCACTGACCTTTTGGTCAGCAAGTTCAGCAGCTCAGTGGTTATACCCACTGTGCTACTGGGGGCTCCAATACTTTAAATATAATACTGTTTTACTAGAACCAGTGAAGTGTAGTGGTTTGAGTGTTGGATCATGACTCTAGAGACCAGGGTTTGAATCCCCTTTTTCCTATGGAAACCCACTGAATGGCCTTGGGCAAGTCCCACTCTCTCAGCCTCAACTCCCCCTGAGCAAACCTTGCTAAGAAAATCCTGTGATAGGTTTTGCCTTAGGGGCACTACAAATCAGAACCGACTTGAGGGAACACGGTCAGCAAGTTCAGCAGCTCAGGAGTTTAACCCACTGTGCTACCAAGGGACCCTTTGGTCCCATGCTAGAGCTTTCTTAAATGTGATGCATCCAGCAACAATTTACCTTTATACTGTGGAGACACCACTGCATAAATGCCACCTTAGGAGGAGGCTACAACAAAATGTTAGTAAGGAAACTATATGAAGCAACTGGAACCATAACAAGATATGAGTGTGTTTTTGTGTGCTTGTTGCCTTATAGCAACCCCATGAATGGGTTTGCCAGTTCCTTTTCTCTAAAATATAGCCTAAATCACCTGGGATTCATTGGGAGTCTTCCATCAAAGTAATAGCTTAGCTTCAAGATCAGAAGGCCAAGATTTATCACAGCAGGTTAAACCACCAGCTGCAGTAAATCTTGTCAATCAAAAGGTTGACAGTTCGAAGCCTGGGTCAGGGTGAGATCCTGGCCTTTAGCCCAGTTTCTGCCTACCTAGCAGGTTGAAATCAAACTGTGAGTAGATAAATAGGCACCGCTTTAAAAAGCAGGGAGGTATTAAGGCACCCATAAGGAAATGCTAGAAAATTGCGATTCAATCAAGAAGGAAGTTTACGAACAAAGCTCTACGGCAGAGAGATGGAGCAATAGCACCCCCATCCCAGGCCCAGAACTGAGCACAAGCCTCCAAGATGCCAAAGATTGGAAACTTCTATCTATACCTCTATCTATGTACAATTGTCTGTCTTGTCAGTGTATAAACGGCATTGAATGTTTGCTGCATATGTATGTTCTGGGATCCGCCCTGAGTCCCCTTCGGGGTGAGAAAGGTGGAATAAAACTACTGCAAATAAAATAAATAAACTTGGTAGTGCAAGGCGTACATAAAACAAAATTGAATCAGAACAAATATTATGTATCAAACAACCACAAGTATGAACCTAAACTGCTACCAGGCTCCTAAAGTGTAATAAAATTATTTTGAGCTACCGGAATTACAAGTTGTCAGAAATTGTGTTAAACAGTGTGAGGCACTGGCAGGAAGGTAACAGAACTTAATTAAAGTTATGTACTTGATATAACAAATTAAGTAAGATCAAGGGCAAATCACTTTGTGAAGGAATTTTCTAGATGCTATCAAAAATAATGCTGAATGTTGTTGAAGTATGCTTAAAATCATTGGTAAATGAAGACCTAAGTGTAATGGTCTCCAGAGAAAGCAAGCGGTTCTCTTCTGACTTTGCTTAAGAGTTGCAATCCAAGGTATCAGGAGGGCACAAAGCTGTTATGCGACAACATGTTTGGGTAATTAAACTGCATTCACACATTGTTACAGCATGTTTAACTACAAACTGACAATTGTATGCTAGTCAAACATGACAAATTTTACACTGGGGAAAGCAACTTTTTCAAGGTATCCCCAACCTCACCCATCAAAAACATAGGATTCCAGAATTGTATAGATAAAATCTGTAAACAAAACATAATACATTAGCCCTAGTGAACTCAGTGACACAACTCAGGACTGTGGATTTGTTATTAGAAGATCCAACAGCTACTTTGGAAAATGAGGCCATGAAAAACATCTCTTTTAAGAGTCCCAAACTTTTGTAACCTCATTTTCAAACTTAAATTATTCTTCATATCCTAATGGTCATCACTGCAACGGAAAAAGCATGCCTAATATGCCCACATAAGTGCATGAAGTGGCAAAAGACAGTCCAAAGATGTCAGGTCACATCTTTTAATCAGATTGTTTAAATAGATATTCAAGGAATGTATTTTATTTTTGACAAGAGGAGACAGGTCTTCAGGTTTCACACAAGGCAGAATGAGGTTCTGAAGTAGCTCGTGCCAAGAGAACTAAGAACAGGCAGGACCTGGGAACTAGACAAGAGACACACACTTTTCTGTTGTCACCTTCTGGAGCACAGAATGTAAATTTACAGAACTCCTTAAATCACATAGTTTGAGCAGCAGCAAAATATTAAGTCTGCCCCAGAACAGGCATGAAGCTACCCTTCTGAATTCTGATTAGTATTGAGGTTAGTAAAACAGAAAGACCTCTGCTTCAGGCTAAACTTTTTTTCAGAGCCGGTGTGGTGCTTTGAGTTTTGGACTATGACTCTGGAGGCCAGAGAAATCCCTGTATGGCCACAGAAAGACCTCTGCTTCAGGCTAAACTTTTTTTCAGAGCCGGTGTGGTGCTTTGAGTTTTGGACTATGACTCTGGAGGCCAGAGAAAGAGGCCAGAGAGTGGGCAAGTCACACTCTCTCAGCCTCATCGGAAGACAAAGGCTGAACAAATCATATCAAAAAAACCCCTGTGATAGGTAAAGTCACGGGGGGGGGGAGGGGGAGCAGCCACGCCTTTTTGCAAAGAAGTATAAAGCAGCTCGTGTTCTTAACCAGTAACATTGAACAAATGTAGAAACAGACTCATGGCTGTTTTCTGGGGACCCTTCTACACAGCTAAATAAAATCCCACATTATCTGCTCCGGACTGGTATATATGGCAGTGTGGGCTCAGATAACCCAGTTCAAAGAAGATATTGTGGGATTTTCTGTGTTATATGGCTGTGTGAAAGGGCCCTGAGTTAGGGGTCCG